TTGCACTGACTTGTTCAATTCGTCACTCTATAAATACGAATTTGGGACAAATAAGTTTATTCGTTTCCTGAATCTTGAAAAGGAAAGTGCTAAGAAAATATTTTAAAAAATATAAACAGATAGTATATCACACAAATTATAGTGAGTCAGTGTTATTTTGTTTGAGAGTGCTGGAGAAAAGTAAGTACATTATTTTTATTAAATTTTAGTTTTGTACTCGTAGTTAGCAAAGATAGATAAATTACGCCAATCATGACTTTAGTTATTAGTAGTTAAATATTCAATTATGCAAAATTACACGAGTACTCCTCAATAGTTTCTTTTTGAAAGTTTTAGCAATCGGTAATATAATTACAGTGCAATCTCCGTAATTCGAGCCAACTGTTGCAAGAAGATGTTTGAATTATGGAATGTGTTCGGAAAAATCAAAAAATATTTTTAATATACAGCTGCTGGATTTTCTGTCTTATTTAAATAATTTAATTTTGCCCACAGATGACTGATGCCATGTCCGAATCTAAAAAGAAATGTAGACAGTACAGTGTTGATTATTTGAAATTTGGCTTCATTCCATCACTGCCAGACAAACAATCGCCTATGTGCCTTTTATGCAACAAGATCTTGGGCAATGACGCTATGAAACCATCTAAACTGCAAGATCATCTGAGAAGATGCCACCCTGATAAAACAGAGAAAGATTTGAAATACTTTCAAACACTCAAAGATAAATTTCAGAAGAGACCTACACTGGACAGAATGTTCGCTTCGACGTCACAAAGAAACTATGATAGTTTGCGGGCGTCATACAATACCTCGTTACTTATAGCAAAATCCGGAAAACTGCATACTATCGGAGAGAAGTTAATTTTGCCAGCCGTTGAAGAGGTTTTAAAAACTGTTTTACACAAAGCTGCATCTGATATCATTAAAAGAAATCCCTTAAGCAACAATACTGTTGAAAGACGTATTGATGAAATGAGTTCTGATATTGAAAGCTTCTTATATAATTATTTGCAAACGACCCATTTCTCTATACAACTGGACGAGTCAACTTTACCTGATAATGCAGCATTATTATTGGCATATGTTCGTTTTATTATGAATCAAGAAATCTACGAAGAACTGCTCTTCGCAAGAACTTTGATAACCGACACTAAAGGTGAAACAATATTTCATGTTTTGAAAAATTACTTCATTGAAAAAGCAATTCCTTTATCAAATACAATATCAGTAACTACAGATGGAGCACCTGCCATGGTTGGACGTTATCGTGGATTTATAAGCTATTTAAAACAAAATGTGTCAGGGGTGTTAGCAATACATTGCGTCATCCATCGACAACATTTAGTTGCTAAAAATTTGAGTGCTAGATTGCATGAATCACTTCATTTAGTCATTGATGCAGTAAACCGAATCCGAAGTAACGCGTTGAATACGCGGTTATTTGCGCAGTTGTGTGAAGAAAATGACGAACACTTTTATCAATTACTCCTTCACACTGAAGTACGCTGGCTGTCGAAAGGCTTATGTTTGGCAAGATTTTTTGCACTTTTTGAGACTATTTTAGAATTTCTGGATACTAAAGATAATATTTTAAAAGAAAATTTAATGAAGAGGAAAACAGACATCGCCTATTTAACAGATTTGTTTACAAAATTTAATATGGTTAATTTGCAATTACAATGCGACAGTTTAAATTTGATTAAAACAAAGTCCATCTTATCAGCGTTTCTTGCCATAGTTAAACTAATGAAGCAAAATATTGGACGGGGCGAATTTTCTCAGTTCCCCAATTTGTCACAGACAAGCTGCCAGGAAGACGACGTTTCAACTTACGTTCAACATTTAAATGCCCTCTATTCAGATTTTGAATCTAGGTTTGAGGATATTTTGACTATGGTAATACCACCGTGGATAATTAATCCATATAGTGACATAGAAGAAACGAATGTCATAATACAAGAGGAACTGACTGAACTAAGTACAAAAGAAGAACTTAAGGTTCAGTTTAAAAACGGATATCAGCAATTCTTATGTTATTTTTTATTTATAGTTTATTTTATGTTTATTGGTGTCTGAAAAAAAATGCCCGCATTGGGAACAAGTGCCCGCATTGATTTTTTTAAAGAACCCCCCTTTATAGAAAATATTTTTTTTTTATTATTCTGAAAATTCAAGGATAGATACACACTAAAATTCGTTAATTCTTTGCCTATTTAACTTAAACGTATAAGAAGCGGAATTTAATCAAACTAACAGTGAAATTATTGTAGGACATACGTTTATGTTATAATTAATCAACGAACTCGCTTATTGTACTATTTTAAGTGAAAAACTTTTTTTTTATTTTATCCCTCTTATTTTTTTTTCAATGCGGGCACTTATTCCCAATGCGGGCACTTATTGGTCAGACACCTGTTTATTTAATGTTACGTATATTTTACATAACAGATACAAAATTTGATTTTGAGTAGTTTTAATTTAAATTCAATTAATAAATGTATAAATTAACATGTGTTTTTACTTTAAGTTTTTAACACTAAACTTCACTACAGTTAGAAATTTACAGGAAATCAATATCAGGTAATTAGGGGGTCTACCCAACACGGAAAAACATGGCAAGCGGTCTACGACACAAAAAAGTTTGGGGAACTCTGATCTAGACTAACTCAATAGGGTTGTATTGACAATTATTGTAAGGGGGGAGCCGCAAAATTGGATGTTCATGTAATATTTCGTCTATGATATATCTTGGAGCCGATGGTTTATTAAAAGCTCGAGTTTAAAAGCGTCATCATCAAAATGTATCTTTTTGTCTTGCAGCCTTTGCTTCAATTTCATTTTACTCTAACTGGAATTGGGCATTTTTTCTGTTAAGGCACTATGATAAGAGACATTATCCATATTACTAAAATGGCTCTTGTAACGCTGGTATCAGCTTCTCAGATATCCATTTTTTTAAGGAATCTGGTCCATGGAATCGGGGTAGTCAGCTCTTTTTGATTTTGATGCAAATAAAATGCTCATAAAATCTTTTTTGGTCTCAGCATAGAGAACAACAACAACAACAAACTCTACGTTTTTATCTTGCCAAACTCGTTTGAACGACCATTTGACAAATATCCACATTTCATCTAAGAAAACGCCTGTACTGTTCAGGTTATTCATATAATGTCTGATACGTAAAATATATACGTTTGGAAACAGTGTCTGATTTTCCACACAAGAGTCGGCGATTACCTTCTCTCTTGTAGAAAAAACCACAATCTCTCAGTAGACGCCTTAAACTTGAATCCAAGGCGTTGTATGTGTACCTTTTTTACGCAGATGTGATATGTTGTCCTTTACTTCTCATATCGTAGAATGTATTTCTAATGTCTGATTTAAGGGCACATACGTAACGACAAAGTTTTTGAGACGGAGACATACAACTAAAAAACGTATGTCTTTGAGCTTACCGAACAAACGTTCACATACAGGGGTAGGTTGCATGTGTATGTACGTATGAGTGAGGTGGAGATATAGGTGTATAAACGGATACTGGTAGTCTTACATTGACCCACCAAGAACTGTGACTACAATTATATTAATATCGAAGTCACAACAACAGTGAACGTTATGTCAAAGATTGATGAACGCGGAAGGTAAACGTTTTATTACATTATGAGAAATAGTACGACTTTCACAATATATTACAAGGTATCTTTTAACAACTGCAGGTTTCTAAAAAAAATCCTGATACACTCAATATCTTAAAGACTAATTGGCCGATACGTAACAAATTCTAAATGGGGTGATAACTGTTCATTACCGATCAGATAGTGGCGACTACGTTGTACCAGGCTTAGGGTTTTAAACTCCAAAATAGTGATTTAATTTTTAATCTTTCTTAATTCTTTAGCACCCTATAGTACAACCATGGAGTACTAGAAGTCTACACAGCTTACCTATAAAAAAATTCGTTTTGAGCCAGAAAGTGGTAGTCTACTATCTGATAATATACTTCGACATCCTGTAGACTAGCTTTCAATTAGCATAATTCTATCCAGTCTACTTATGAAAATATGACAACTAAATTAAAATTTTAAAAGTTTGTGAAATATTTTGGAAATGTTGAAGAGATTGCGGCAGTTTTTTTATTTGTTTAGAAACGACGATACCTCTGGCTTTATTGTCATATTTTCATAAGCACATTGAATGAAGGCTTGCTACTTATGACATGAGTCTAGAGTACTAGAGAGACTGTATAGACTAACAAATGAGATAACATGGGGTTTAAATTTAAGAAGCAAAGGTGTTTTCGATAAAATTTGAGTCTGGCAACCTCGCAGCTATTACGACTTAATCGGGGATTATTGGTTACGACCCTGGTTTAAATTTTCATCATTTGATACAGTTCATCCTCAACGTGGGTCAGAATATCAAACAAATTTGGAAAGGTTCCAAATTACTTTAATTGAGTCAGAGAAAACTTCACAAAGACGTTTTTGTCTTGTTTCGTTGCAACAACTAGAAATCTACTTGAAAATGGTTATATGCCCATATATGCAAACATATTTGGCTAGAGCGCCATCTATGAGACACTGACCTTTTCAAAGTAGATTTCTAATTACTGCGGAAAGGATAATATTTTTGGACGGTGTAATACAGCATTTGGTTGGCTATCCGTAGGTTATGGTTATGCTAAATCTTACTATGTCACAACTTTCCATCAAAACATTTTTTTTTGTAAAGTACCCTACTTCCATTTTGTTATGCATGATCTGTCTATAAAGTATCTTGGGATGTCTGTTTTCTGTCTGTAATCATAATTTCCTGCTACAGTGCTTTTAATATCGTTGACAAAAATTTAAAAAAAAAACGGACAGGAGCTTTTGGACAGAGATGCTGTAGATCTTTCGGTTGGGACTGCAAAAAAATCTTAGCTGAAAGAATTCATTCTGTTCCTAGCAATTATAAAGCCAGTGTTACAAAATGGCTTGCACATATTCTTTTTCTAGATACTACCTAAACTTTGAAGCTCTACCAAAATGTGACCAAATAGCTAGGAAATACCTGGGGAATGATCTACCCTACATCCAAGACATACAGAAAAACATGAGCTTGCTACTTCAGATGACGAATCCCATTCTGTATGAACCAAGACCGAACGTTCCAACAGTCATTAGTATGGAACAGATGCATATAAAGCCTGTAAAACCGTTACCGAAAGACATAAAGCAGTTCTTAGACAAAGCAAAAACAGGTAATTTTAAAACACATCAGTGAAACAAAGATGTTACAGGCAAAACGCTTCGTCTTGCAAAACTAGGTTGCCATTCAGCTCTTGTGATTGTCTCCACCAGCAACAATATTACCTGTTGCGTTGGGGAACGGTCAGTCACAATTTAAAGGTAATATCATGGATTATTTATCTAATGGTAAAAGGAACAGATATTCGGAGTCCAGAGTCGTGCATTCTGGACGAGCCTCCAATAATATGTATAATAAAATTAGTGTTACTGCTTTTATTCGCTAGATAATTATTCAGTTACGATAGTGATGCAGTAACGAAATGCCCATATCCAGATAACAGCTTCGATTCCGAATGTCGGTTATAGATACGAGTAATCTTCAGTTTCTTTTTTTCTTCACATGCCATAGAACCAGCCATTTCGCAGGGTCAACGCGCTAACAGTTAATTAGTTAGAGATTGGAATGTGCCTGTAATTAATTCATTAAAATCAACCCTATGTGGTATATAATCATGTATACGTGATTGAAGAACTCGAAACCATTTTTTCTTTTTCTCTTTTGGCGTACCCTTGAGTATGGCTCCTATACACCACCAGTGCTTCTTCACCTCCATGAACCTTGCTTGGGCCTTACCGATAAGCTAGTTCTGGTGAAGGAACCTCCAAAACGCTGGAAAATTATTGAATCTTCTAGACCCGTAACAGATGCACCCTCAGAGACAAGTGTAGTTTTGTATATGCGGTGTTTCGAATTCGACCATCGCCACTGAGATCTCGGAATTCGCAATTCAAAATTCAAAGTGCTTCCGGTGAGAGATGGAAAAACCGAAATTTCTCGAAACCGTTTTAATTTTTTCCTGGCTTTATTTGGAGTGGGATCCCAAAATGAATTCAACATTGCCACTTTTTCTCCTTTACAAGATGGCATAATTTAAATTTCAGTGTGATGTTGCGTCTATTTTCCTCCAACATAAACTTCATTTTTTCTTAAGGATACCATCTTAAATCCTTACACAGGTTAATAAAGTTTATAATTTTAATTCCAAAATGTACGATATGCCATACATCCGCATTACCAAGTCTTAGTTATTTCAGAATAACTGAATTTCCTAGGTAGGCGTTGAAATTATCAGATACTCGTTTGTTTCAAATATCAGACCAGCACGGCACGGGTATCATGTAAAAAACCCGTATCACGTATCTTGAAAAGTGACGTTATGCCGATTTTTTTTTGGCATTATGCTGTTTTTTTTTGACATTATGTAGGTTATTCTACAAGATGTTAACTTAGCACTTAGTTGTACGTGTTGCCTAAACATCATGAGGCTTGTTATCAACCTTTGGCTCTGATGTGATGTAAAATCTGCTTCTGACATGGCTTTACTGGAGGTCCAAGCTGTAAGTTGTATGTGTTGATGATAATTACATTGGGTTCTTGTCTCAAATACACTTAGTTAAGATTCGAAGCTAGAAATTAGTTGCGCATCCACTTTTTCTTATCCATTCTGGAAATTACATATATACAAATTTGCTGAATTTCAAAAATGAGAGAGATAAAAAGTAATTATATTCACTGTACACTGTCGAATTGCAAGCCATATTCATACTAACAGTAATTACATACAACGCGAGCGCGGTGATGATTTCCCGTAATTCTCCTCAGTTTTTCGTAATTTATAACTTTGAACATAACCTCTCTTCAGAGAGCACAACATATAAATAACCGGTCACATTCGACACATTCAGTAATGATTTACTCACACCGTAAATATCACATGCAGACCAATACACATAATCATCCAGATGGGATCTAGCTATTCACCCAACTTTCTTCTCAAAGATAAAAACTACAGACCCGGATCACTCAACCTCACAGAACTATGCAACCAATAATGCGTGTAGTTGAGTGATTCCTCCATAGATGGACGTTCACAACGATTCTAGTGAACAAACGTGGAATGACTGTTTGGGCCCTAAAAACTACCTAGTCTGCAACTTGACTTTATAGGTTTTTTTTGACGTGTTATAGGTTTTTACATGATACCCGTGCCGATCTCAAACTGAACGTAGTGACAGAGTTTGGAAGACTGAGAAGGAGAGAAATAAACCTTTATGATACGAAAAAACCAAATATGACCTAATACCTCTTATATTCCAATCTCAAACAGTGACGTAGAAATGTACAACACTGTATCCCAGAAAAAAGAATGTATATCTATCGAGGCATCTGTGTTATATTACGTACATTTTGCACTACTTTTTGGAATGAAAAAATGTTGTCCATTCAGGTGCAGTCTACTTCAGCCTTGGATCCAACGTGAAAAGTGTTGATATCCCCAAGAAATTGAGGAAAATGCTGATAGAGGCATTCGCTGAATTACCGTACAAGATATTATGGAAGTTTGAAGATGACTATTTACCAGGAAGACCAAAAAATGTATTTATTAGGAAGTGGATGCCTCAGCAAGATGTATTAGGTAAGATTTCACGCATGGTGTTGTAAATTCTGACAAATCATTTCTGTAGTACTGTTGTCATTAAGTCAAGAAGCATATTTGAATCTCTCTCTTCTACCTTACATGACCTAAATTATCAATCTATATCTAGAGAAGGGCTACTTTCCTGAATCTTGAAGACGAGCAGTAGTAAGGCCAATACTCAAGGTCATTCGTTGGATCGTAGGCCCATCAGTCTCTTGAGTTTTTTGTCAAAGATCTTGGAGCAGATCATTTATTTGCAAATCTTAAATTTTCGGAATCGAGTGAGATTCTTCCAGTACGAGCCCCTTCCCACTTCAGTTGGGCCACTTCAAGATTTGTACCAAAATATGCCTTTATAAACTAAACATGACGAAACTATTTACTTCTAAAACAATTTGTTTTCTCAAAAACATTTTAGATACACTCTAGTCGTGAAAAATAAATATTTGAAATCACTTACACTTATAAGTAATAGAAGATCTGAACAAATAAACAATCTGCGAATAAATGCGCGAAGTTCAAAGCAACAATTGAAAGATTACCATTGGGTAACATCACCTTTATTTTTTATTACGGCTGCTATTCTTTGGGGAATAGTGTTAACCAAGTTTTGGCAAAAATTGGATGTAAAAAATCCTATATTTCTTGAAGCTTTTGTCTCAGTTCGGTGATTGTACGAGCAGGATGTTGTCGTAGAACCTTTTTCATCTCGTGCCACAAGTTTCAATAGGTGACAGATCTGGACTGCTAGAAACCCATTTCAAAAGTCGTACATTATTTTCTTGCATCCGTTTTATAGCCTTTTTTGAGGTATGGCACGCTGCACCATCTTGCTGAAACACAAAATCTTGGTCGGATGTCAAATATTCTTCCATCACTGGTAAAAGCGATTCTTCTAAAATTGCCAAATATTTGTTTGTATCCACATTTCCGTCAATAAAATGAAGTATTCCTACTCCTTTAGATGATATACTGCCCGAGACCATAATGGATGCTGGAAATTCCACTTTTCTCTTCAGACAGTCAACATGGAATGCTTAATTATTTTGCGAATAACTCTACTGCGACTGTCACCAACACAAACTTCGAATCGGGCCTCATCACTCCATTGTATTGCACACCATTGTTGAGGTGTAGATCTAAGCCGATGTTTCTTTTGTAGTGGAGTTAATAGTGGCTTTTCTTTGACCTATAAACAAGTTGTGCAACTTTAGGGTTTTTACTTCACTTTTTTTTATAAGAAAACTTACCTTGCAAGTGCTACATCCCAATTTGTGGGCCTCTCTATGAGTTGTGGACCTCGAAATTCTCCTTCCAACAGCGTCACCCCACAGAGCACTTAATTGTAAATAATTGGCACGACTGTTTTTCACGATTATTCTCATCAATGCTCTTCGGTCGGCATTTGTGATATTACTTTTTTCACATATCGTGGCTTAATATTAACTGAACCAGTTACGTTATATCTTCTAACAATATTTCTCACACTGTACCGCGATAAGTCTAACAAAGTTGCAATTTCTGAGTTTGATTTCCCAGAATTGAAAAATTTTATTATCAGTAACCGAATTTTCTCACTAATAACCTTTCTTCTACCCATTTTGAAAACCTTAACTACCCAAAACTATTTTAAACGTATTCTGACAGCTGTGACTAATAAAAACAATTGTCATGGCTTTTATTTTTCACAGCCACCTATGCGTTATAGACTTATTTTGCATTGAAACGAAAATAATGATATGCTGTAATTGCAACATGTGTTATTTTTATGCTGGAAATTTGATTTCGAAGTGATAAAGTTGGTGTTTTCTACTATATATTATCAAAATATTCATTATTAATATTTTAAATCTATAACACCCTGCTACATTTTTATTATTTGTGTTTGATAAGAAAAAAACTAAGATTTCAGTAGTTGGGCCAACTGGAGTGGGAAGGGGCTCGTACATCAGTCAGGGCTTAGAAAATCATACAGTACTACGATGCTCTTCTTAATTTAGTGGACAACATCATCAAGGCCGTTGATATAAAAAATGTGTGTCACCTTAGTATCACTGGATTTCTACAAGGCCTTTGATAGAATTGATCACATACTAATGTGTCCAAGCTGAAGTTTTATGGTTTTGATAAGATAACAGTGTAGTTTTTCAAATCATACTTAGCCTACCGCTGATCTCAGTTTCTTGAGTTTTGCCAAATGGGCACTTTTGCTACCTCTGATGTTCCTCATGGCCAATTTTAGGTTATATGTTATTTATTATTTATGTAGCCGATACCTTTATCTAAAATTGACAGCTACACCTATTTTCGGATGACACTCAAGTGCTTTACTTCTTTTACCCCGAAGACCTCCAGAATGCAATTATGAAACTTAACAGTCATTGACTCTAGTTGCACCTACTCAGCCAATAACAACTGAATCATTAATGCTTCGAAATCCTCTGCTGTGCTGTTTTGTCCAGGCCACAGAAGAGATGTAATCAAAGCTTCTTTAAGTATATGCATTAATAATGAGAATCTTCCGTTTTCTGAAAGTGTCAAGTACTACTAAGAACCCTGTATGCGAACAAAAATTTACTGAATTCAGTGCGAAAAAAATTGTGTGAATCTTTTGTGTTATCAATTTTTAATTCTGATATCTAGTTTATTATCCCTGTACAGATGTTCCGAGCATACGCTTCATGTGTTAGATCGTAACCCTTACCTAACCTTTATACGTAAATCACTTGTCTCTGGGACTATCAACGATCTATCGGTAACACATCTTTATTAACAATGCTCCTTCATGGTTCATCTCACTGCGTGCGTTTTAGAGAACATTTCAAAGCTCTTCTGCCTAATGATGCTTTTTAAACGGGTTTATCTCCAGCATTATACTCGTTTGCTAAGACGTTTTTAGTTTGGGATCAGTTTCTTGTGCATTTTCCTTTCAATTCATGTATAGTACAGCTGTACTCTTCTACCACTTGCACTTAAGCACCTAACCAAAGAATGCGAACAATTTAAATTCGACATAGTTGCTACTTAAGAAACAAAGCAGTTGGGGAACGAGATGGTAGAAGTTGGTAATTATGCATTCTTTAATAGCGATGGAGAAAACAGAATACCGGGAACAGGCTTTCTTGTAAACAAGAGATTTAAATTTGCAGTAATAGATTTTAAAGCAATTAATGGGCGAATGTTCCTTTTAAGACTTTGAGGAAAATTTCAGAAAATAAGCCTACTGAATTTCCATGCCCCATCAGAAGAGAAGAATATATCAATTAAGGACGAATTTTATAATGTGCTAAGTGAAGAATTTGAAAAAATCCCGAAGTATGACGTGAAAATTGTATTGGAAGATGCAAATGCAAAAATAGGCAAAGAAGCAATATATAGAATAACAATTGGCAAATATAGCAAACATAGTCTTAACATCAGAGAATTTAGAGTTTCTCATAGACTTCGAAAGAAAAGAAATATATGAGGGAACTTGGAAATCTCCAGATGGGAAAACTATAAACCAAATGGACCATGTTTTGATACAAAAGGAAGAGGTAATAAGTATAAAAAATATCAGGACATATAGAGGATTAGATGCGGACAGTGAAAAATAGGAAGATAGAGATAGATATAAGAGAATATTAAATGAAGAGCTAGAAACAGCAAATATAGAAGAATTGTACAGCGTGGATAAAAAATGGATATTGATAAAGGACAAAATGGAAAAATGTGTGTCAGAATGTGAGCAAAAAAAGGGTAAAAGCAAAAATAAATGATTCGATGACGAGTGCGAAAGGGAATTGAAAGTGAGGAATAAGTTGCGTTTGTTAACGATACGTCAGACGACAGAAGCAAATAAACTAAAGTATATCGAACAAAGGAAAGCATGTAAGTAACTGCTAAGGGAAAAGAAGAGGAAAGATAAAGGAAGACAGCTTTGTGCAATAGAAGAACTCTATAAAAATGGGGAGATTCAAAATCTATATCAAGCTGTAAAAAGACAGAAAAACGTCTTCCCAGCAAAGCCAGTATTTATAAAGAGTAATAATGGACAACTCATTGCACATGAAGAAGAAATGTTAGCAAAATGGAAAGACTATTTCGAGGAACTGCTGAATGAAAATTTTCGAGAAGACGACGAGCACGGAATTAACGATTTTCAGGAACAGGAAAGAGTGTTGGATGATAAACCAAACCTAGATGATATAAAAAAGATTCTAGGAAGCTTAAAATCAAATAAAAGTGCTGGTATAGATGAAGTCGCAGGCAAAATGCTAAAATTCGAAGGTGACAAAGTTATTGAGGTAATGTACAGTTTGAAAGGGGAAATTTGGGAAACAGAGAGAATGCCGCGTGAATGGAGTGAGGCGTTAATAAGCCCAGTGCTTAAAAAAGTGGATAAAATAATCTGTGAAAACTCTAGAGGGATAGCCCTATCGAATGTTGGTTATAAAGCGCTAGCGACCTGTATTAACAGTAGACTTTTATCGAAAATGTTAGGAAGAATAGGAGAATACCAATGTGGGTTTAGAGCAGGAAGGAGAGTGGTGGACCAAATTTTTACGCTTAGACAGATCCAGGCTGAAATATATCAATATCAGAAAGATACATATATAATATTTATAGACTTCAAAAAAGCATATGATACAATCCGAAGAGCGACAGTATACCAAGCACTAAGAGGAGTAGGAAATAGTGAAAAGATTATAAGGCTAATAAAGTTGACACTTCAAGAAACGGAAAAGAAAAATATTCAGAAAAGTTCAAGGTAAAAGTGGGGTTGCGGCAAGGGGATCCGTTGTCAACAGTTTTATTCATAATTGGAAGGTACAATCGGAGCAGCAAATTTAAATAGGAATGGTTTATTATACAATAGAAAGCACCAACGTTTAGCGTTCGCAGATGACATTGCAATTGTTGCTAGAAGCAAAAGTGAATTGATACAAGTACTAAAAACAGTTGAAGAGAAAGCAAAGGAAAACGGTCTAATAGTAAATCAGGAAAAAACTAAATATATGAAATGGACAGATGATGATTTTATGACAGGAGAAAGCCTAAAGGTAAAAACAGGCAGTGGCAAAATATACAGGGTTCGAAGTTGAGTCATTTATTTTAACAGTGAGTAGATCTGATCAAAAGAAATGTTTTTTTCCTTTAACATTTTTCTGGTAAAATTAAAGTAACAAAGTTATAGCCCTTTAGAAGTTTGAGTACCGCCCTGTCTCAATAATAATATTATGTGCTCGTGTTTGGCAACAACGGATATAATCCGCCTTATCGGTTCATCGCATCGGAAACAAAAAAGCGAAAGAATTTGAAACGCTGATCACGATGTTCTTATTCAGTCAATGTGTCAGTCGGTAACGCGTGAGTGAATAGTGGTGTTTGCTGCGTGGCTCAAACGAAATAAAAAATGGCACATGTTTATGCGGATCGGTTTCCCAATCGTGTAACCAACCCCTCGTGCCTTTGTTAATGTAGTACAACGGGCTCGTGAATCAGGTGACTTTAGACCTCACAGGGGAGGGCATGCCGGTGCTCCAAGACCTCACGATCAAATATAGGTCCGCACTGAAATACTTGTCGGGAGGATACTTTATAAAACAAGGTAAATTTTTTTTTTTATTTTTACACACATATTTTGGTTTATCTTCCTTCTACAATCATTATCTGAAAATTAATGACTCAACTTCAAAGTCACCCTGTATAATTTTGAAGAGGTCGATCAGTTTGTCTATTTGGGATCAACATTCACAAGAAAACCGGGCACAAGCGAAGAAATAAAAGCAAGACTGGGGAAATAGATATATAGATATATAGCCTGAACCATCTCTTGAAAAGCAAGTTGATAAGTAATAAACTAAAAATGAAATTATATAAAGCAGTCATAAGACCATCAGTTTCATTTGCTTGCGAAACATAGATCTTGAGGAACGCAGATATAAATACCCTAGAAGTGTGGAAAAGAAAGGTTTCAAAGAAATTTGTTGGAGAAAACAGAACAATGGGGTATGGGAAAGAAGAACAAACCAAGACCTGGCAGATATGTATAAAGAATCAAGTATCACAGAATATATAAGAGCACAAAGGTTGAAATGGTTAGGGCATGTAGAAAGGATGGCAGAAAATCCAAAAATGATTGTTAGAAGAAGCCTAGGAGGCAAGAAGAGGAGAGGGAGACCGAAGGAAAGATGGAAGAGCGAAGTAGAAGCTGATATGAGAAGCTTAGGTGTACAAAACTGGAAATTCATATGTATGTCAAAATAATAAGAAATGGAAAGAAATTACAAATAAACACTTGGGCCTTTCAGGTCTGTGGAGCTGTTTATTATTATTATTAACATTTTTGTGCAGCAAACGGTTAAGTATAAGATAGCTGTTATAGCTAAACTTCGCCATTAAGCTGCTCACGAATTTCGTTATACATGTATTTACCTATAATTTGTTTTTAATAAAAGATAATTATTGTTATTATTTTTTTTTTCGTCCATAGTTCTCACATATGGTGGTGTACTATCACTGAAGGGGAGTTCACCGTTTATCCCAACCAATAATAGTTTTAACAGAGACAGTGCCTTTCTCACAATATTATAATTATTAATAGGAATCAGGAATTGAAAAATATCTTAACCTGAGCAAACGCTGAAAAAACATACAAAAGGTTCAAAGATGCCTAGTTGCTGTGATTACCGATCTGGGATGGTTACCATTCCTCTAATAGCGAGAACTATACTTCGAACATACATTTCCAACCTAATTTCCTTTGACGACCAGGGTGTTTCCTGAGTATCAGCTTCATTTATTATAAGCATATTCTGTTAACATCTTAGTGATATCTATGTCTTCTCTATTCAAGCCCATCCTAATGTAAGGGTATTTGTCACCCAATGCGGACTACAATCAGTAGAAGAGGCAATATCAAGACGTGTTCCAATGGTGGGAATACCCTTTATAGCAGACCAATCTAGAAACGTAATAAGGTTAAGCGAAGAGGGGGCTGCCATTGCACTTGATCATAGGACTGTTACCAAAGAGGAGTTTAAGAATGCTATCATTGAGGTCATCAACAACCCAAAGTAAGTCGGATCACCACAAAAACTGTATATCAGTTTATTTCATCAACCATTGCTAAAACTAACCATTTAGTTCATCTCAGAAAAAAAATCACAACTCTAGACCTAATGGTTTAGTTGTAATTGCGATTAAAGGGGCTCATTCGATAGGTTTCTAGGCCCTCTATCACCTGACTTCCGTTGATCCACTACTAACTTTACACCCCGTATATCCTAGGTATGTGAATTCTATGGGGCATCTACCATAGATATGAGTTTGTTGATATCTCAGTTATTCGTTTGAGTTATGCATTTTTTCAATTTGGGTATTCAACACTTAAAGGCATATAATCCCGTGGTGCACTGATTTTCTGCAAAACTATAATCCAGATAAATAATACAACATATACTACTTCGTTATCCTAACAATTGTCCTTGAATGATGCTGTAAATAGCTAACGGCTGCGCTCTCTCCACCCTCTATCTCAAGAACAGTTAATTGTATGAAAAAATGTTTGAAACAAAGGTTGTAGAGGATGTTATTGCTCTCTGATAGTCATGATGAATGCAAATAGCATTAAACTCATTGGCAACGATATTTTTTCAGATGCAGTCGGGCACAAAATGTAGAAACACCACCATGTAGTGCTTAAAAAGTAACAACGAAAAAGTTTAGTTTTTTTATATATCGTCGGACATCTCACAATACCTGCTATCTGACATTTTTGCCCAATTTTATGTATACTAAGTGACATATAAATCCGAACACCCAGTTTAAATGGTTTTATTTTAATAAAATTTTGTATAAGTACTTAATGAAGCATAATAAGTAAATGATAAAAATTTCAAAATGATTGCACTGCTTTAAAGCCCTTTGACCTTTAATAATGTGTGGATGCACCCTGATGTGCTACGCATTCTCCAACGCGCCTAGGCATGCTTCTGATCAGGTGGTCAATGTCCTCCTGTGGTATCTCATTCCAGGCAACCACCAACTTCTCTCGGGGTTCTAGAACTTCGTGGATATAACGCTGCGCGTTCATGTTACCTCTGATGAAGATTAAAGGTGACCTGGAACCATAAGCTATAGCACCCCAAACCATAACTCCAACAGTGTGATGAACATGTCTTTCAACAAAAAACTGTGGATTCCTCCTTTCACCACGTCGCCTTCTAACCCTGGCACGACCATCGTGCATGCCTAAACAAAATCGAGACTCGTCACTAAAGATCCCAGAGTGACCGTTGTCTGCTCCACTCAAGGCGATTTACGTCGGTGTTCTCGAGTTAAAGGGAGGACCCAGTGTGGCCGGTATGAAAACAAGACAAAACTTCTCATTCGTCGGTAAACACTTCGCATGCCAATAGATCTTCCGTGTTCTGCAAACCATTCATTTGCAATGGACCTGGTAGTGGAGAAACGGTCCCTTAAGGCCAATAATCTTAGGCGGCGATCTTCACGGTCTGTTGTTCTACGGCGGCGTCCAGTGCCCCTTACTCTTTGCGTACGGCCTTCTCGAAGCCATGCCTGACAACACCTAACCACAGTGTCTACACTTCTTTGCACTCTAACTGCAATTGACGGAAAAGAAAGTCCAGCTTCCCGAAGTCCCACTATACGGCCCCTATCAAACTCACTAAGTTGACGAAATCGTACAGGTCTCCGTACTCTAGGCATCGTAACCGATCGTAAAGGATGTCAAGAACCAAAATCCGCCAACGTTGATTCTTTACTGTGGCTCAAATATTCATTTTTAGAGCGTTAGTGAATTAAAAAAAAGCAGTATAAAAACCGGAATGTCCAACTGATAAGGCTGAAAATTTTTTCACTTGTTATTTACAGTAAGATAAATACATTCACCAACTTTTATTAAAATAAAACCATTTAAACTGGGTGTTCGGATTTATATGTCACTTAGTATATATGCACATTTTTCTTCGTTTACCTACCTCAACGGCATGTAAATACGCCCCAAAGTACGCAACTTTTTCCTAATAAGATCACCATGCCCCCTGTCATCATGTGACGAGATGCAAAGTTCCGGGACATTCCCGGATTTCCCTGCCATCTGACAAGCCTAGCTTACACTGAGGCTATGCTCATTATCGGAGAGCACGTATCGCACACATTGTTAAACGTTGCACGAAAGATGTTGCATGTTTAGTCATTATTTTTTAGGTACAGAAAAAATGTCCGGAGGCTAGCAGAGATATGGGTGGACCATCCGTTACCGTCTCTTAACAGAACGATATGGTGGATAGAATACGTCATACGGCATAAAGGGACAAGGCATCTGAGAAGTCCAACTGTTGACGTATCTTGGTTCAAGTATTTGCTTATAGATGTCATTTTAGTCCTATTGTTCTGCATAAGCTTAATTCTGTTTGTTTTGTATAAAACACTTAGATTTATTTTGACAAGGATTGATATCGAAAAGAAACTTAAACAGATTTAGTCAATTGATGTGTTCATAAGCCAGTATAGGTCATATCCTGAAAAAACGCAATTTTTATGAATGTGTTGTTTTTTTTTAAGCCTTACCACTCGGCTATGTACCTTTGGTAAGGTCTGAATGCGGGATGAACATAGATAGACTCGCTGATATAAAAACGTATGGTTTTCTTGCTGAAAGGAGTCCATGATTGTCTGGCCGCTTAGTAAAACTGCTTAGGTATGCTTGAATTAGTTTTCACTGACTGACATATGTGTTTTCTTACTCCAACAGACAATCACTGGGCCCTACAAACTGACTGTAATTACAGCGTATTGCTTATTTTGACGCTGTAATAGCACAAATTTATTCAGTAAGCCTTAATAAATCGTACCGTGTGGTTGGGTGTTATCGTTGTATTGAGATTTTTTTGCGATTTTGTGAACAAGTTTTTATTTTTTGTGACATCGAATGAGAATATGGAATACGATTTGCCAAGTAAGTAAATATATGGTCTTTACGTAAATGAAAAAAAAGTTTTGATTGCTTCTACCAATAAAACACATGCTTTTTTCCAGTTATAATGCCAAATTACATATGTTATTATTTCGGATTCACAATTGCGTCATTATATTTGAGTGTGCAAAATATTGTACGCCAGGAAAATATACGCCTGTTTCACTTTTAGGGGCTTTTCTCTGGAGGAATCAATTGCTATGCTGGAGGATAATGAAGGTGTAGTATCAAATGTGGATAATATCACATTAATGCCTCCAATCAATGCTTGTGACATTCTCACAGACGAGGACTCCAGCGATGAGAATGTAATGTCAGCTGATAATCTACCTGGTTCACAATTACAAGCACCTGCTGAGATAAACATACCTCATGAAAAATTTAGCATATCTTCATCTGATTCCGAAGATAATATTACATTGTGTGCATTGGCTAAAAAAAATAAAAAATAAAAAGCTAAAGAAACGAAAAACGTACAAATGGGTGAAGGAGGATCTACCACAAGAAGTTCCAGGAAACTTCGAAGAAATTCTTGAACAAAATAATTCTTCTAATTCTCCTCTTGAATGGTTTTCACTTTTTTTTGACAGCGAACTTATAACATGCATAACAACTGAAACAACTAGATATGCCAGGCAAAAGAATCGCCAACAAGAGGTGCAAGAGTATGAAATAAGGGTATTTATTGGAACACTAATATTGAGTGGTTATGTCGATCTGTCACGTAGAAGAATATTCTGGGAACGTGAAAGAGTTGCTAATAATCAACTCGTTACAGAAGCGCTTACACGAGATAAATTTGAGTATGTTATGTCAAATTTCCATTTAGTAGATAACTACAATTTACAGCAAGGAGATAAGTTTGCAAAAGTTAGACCTTTATTTACGAGCTTGAATAAAAAATTTATGGAACATGGATTTTTGACAGAAATGCATAGTGTAGATGAGGCAATGGTTCCTTATTTTGGGAGACACTCATGCAAACAGTTCATTCACGGAAAACCTATACGATACCGCTATAAATTATTATGGGTTGGTTCATCAAGACTAGGCTACGTTTACTTGGTTGAACCTTACCAAGGGCCGTCAACCAACATTAGTAAGAATTATGCAGATTTGAGGGTTGGTGCTGTTGTGGTATTAGGGTATTCTGATGCACTGAGGAGAAAATGGTCAAACGAAAAATTTCATTTAGTTTTCGACAATTTTTTCACTTCTCTTTCTCTTATGGTAAAATTGACAAAAAAAAATTCTTTGCGACTGGTACTGCTAGATAAAATCGTTTACAAGGCGTCCAATTCAGAGATTCTAAAATTATGTAAAGGGAAAAAAGAGATAGTTACGAATACAACAAAATTTCCGATACAAACATAATTGCAGTAAAATTGCAAGACAATAATTTAGGAACACTCTGTTCAAATGCCGCAGGAATGCAACCAATTCGCTTTGTAAAGCGATACTCTCAAAAGAATAAAAAAAGTATTCAGGTAAGAAACACAATCTGCAAAAAAATCAATGTTTTCAAAAATGCTTTTGATTTTAGGTAGAACAGTCCATCTTGTAAATGTATACAACGCAAATATGGGCGGCGTTGATCGTTGTGATCAAAATATTGGTCTGTATCGCATTTCTATCCGGGGTAAAAAGTGGTATTTTTCATTGATCAGCCACTGTATTGATATGGCTGTTCATAATTCCTGGCAACTTTATAGATCGCACGGAGGACATATGGATCAATTATTATTTAGACGGCGGCTTGCCACAGCCTTGATACAACAAAACAAGAAACCGCCATCTTTTTCTAGAGGATGTCCGTCGGCTAATGAATATATATACTAAGTGACATATAAATCCGAACACCCAGTTTAAATGGTTTTATTTTAATAAAATTTTGTATAAGTACTTAATGAAGCATAATAAGTAAATGATAAAAATTTCAAAATGATTGCACTGCTTTAAAGCCCTTTGACGTTTAATAATGTGTGAATGCAGCCGGATGTGCTACGCATTCTCCAACGCGCCTAGGCAAGCTTCTGATCAGGTGGTAAATGTCCTCCTGTGGTATCTCATTCCAGGCAACCACCAACTCCTCTCGAAGTGCTTCTAGAGTCTGAGGAGGACGTTGCAAATTGAGCAATCTCCTACCCATCATATCCCACACGTGCTCAATTGGGGATAAGTCGGGAGATCTTGGTGGCCATGGTAACAATGTGACATCATTATGTTGAAAGAAGTCTATTGTGACTCTTGCAACATGTGGTCGGGCATTATCTTGTTGGAAAGTTGGATCTGCCAGGGTGTTAAGACAGGGTAAAAGATGGGGTTCTAGAACTTCGTGGATATAACACTGCGCGTTCATGTTACCTCTGATGAAGATTAAAGGTGACCTGGAACCATAAGCTATAGCACCCCAAACCATAACTCCAACAGTGTGATGAACATGTCTTTCAACAAAAAACTGTGGATTCCTCCTTTCGCCACGTCGCTTTCTAACCCTGGCACGACCATCGTGCATGCCTAAACAAAATCGAGACTCGTCACTAAAGACAATACTGTTCCATTCCTGATCCCAGAGTGACCGTTGTCTGCACCACTCAAGGCGATTACGTCGGTGTTCTCGAGTTAAAGGGAGGACCCAGTGTGGCCGGTATGAAAACAAGCCAAAGCTTCTCATTCGTTGGAGTTATGGTTTGGGGTGCTATAGCTTATGGTTCCAGGTCACCTTTAATCTTCATCAGAGGTAACATGAACGCGCAGTCTTATATCCACAAAATTCTAGAACCCCATCTTTTACCCTATCTTGACACCCTGGCAGATCCAACTTTCCAACAAGATAATGCCCGACCACATGTTGCAAGAGTCACAATAGACTTCTTTCAACATAACGATGTCACATTGTTACCATGGCCACCAAGATCTCCCGACTTATCCCCAATTGAGCACGTGTGGGATATGATGGGTAGGAGATTGCTCAATTTGCAACGTCCTCCTCAGACTCTAGAAGCACTTCGAGAGGAGTTGGTGGTTGCCTGGAATGAGATACCACAGGAGGACATTGACCACCTGATCAGAAGCATGCCTAGGCGCGTTGGAGAATGAGTAGCACATCAGGGTGCATCCACACATTATTAAAGGTCAAAGGGCTTTAAAGCAGTGCAATCATTTTGAAATTTTTATCATTTACTTATTATGCTTCATTAAGTACTTATACAAAATTTTATTAAAATAAAACCATTTAAACTGGGTGTTCGGATTTATATGTCACTTAATATAGATATTCGTTATGATCGTTTAGATCATTTTGTGATACCACAAGAAAAGCCAACTAGATGTTGCTTATGTCATGATAGAGCAAAAACAAGGTGCTCTAAGTGCAATGTAGGGATGCATGTAAAATGTTTTTTGTCCTTCCATACTAAACCTTAATGTTCGCCTATGTGCCTAGTGTACTATATTTTGTACGGCATTTTTTACACTTTTTCCTATAATAATAATAAAATTTAAAAAATAATAAATTTGTTTAATATATGCTTCATATAGAATGAATTTGCAGAGAACATACTTTACAAATATAATGTATTTGAGCTGTAGGCATATCTGGGTTAATACACATAACTACGATTATTTGTTGTTGTTAATTTTTTAACACCGAAACGGCCGCGCAGGCAGAAGCCTAAACGCCAGAACTCCGCGGCTGCTAAGAGGATCTCAATCAAATCCTGTTATCCTGTGGAGAAGTCTCTGAGCCCCTCCCATAGCATGTTTCTGCTGCCACGGCGGGTTCTGACCGAAATCTAACGTCCACAAAGCAGCAGGGGAAAAAGTAGTTCTCGTCACCAGCTGGGTCAGTCCTTGGGTAATAGCAACCGTTTCAATTGCACAACCTGCTGCCCAACCAAAGCTCATTATGGGAATTGAAATCACCAAGAGGAACTACCTCTGAAGCGAGGTGATTGATGTTTAGGAAGAATTCCCTTCTAGCCTGATTCCAAATGAACGTCTCTAGAGTAGCAAATGCTGCTGCGGACAAAGCCACAACTCTCCCTTTCTTTCTCAAATTGGAGTGCACCCCGAAATTTGGAAGCTAAGATGATCAGTCAGTGCAGACTCTGAGATTTTTGTCTCCGTCAAGAAAAGCATGGCGGGACCATTGGATTGCAGGTAGTGATGAACAACATCAATGTTGCTATTAATGCCGTGGATGTACGAGAAACAAATTTTATCATGTTGTTCCCTCTATTCCAGAAATTCCGAGAGTGGAGTGAGATTACTTCCAAAATTCTTAGTACTCGAGGATCCATCATCATTGATTTCGTTGTTGGAGAAGATAATCGGCTGCGTAGCTTAGGTGTTTAGACATGCGGAGATTCTTTAGACCCTAGAAAAAGCAAGTGGGTGGTACCGCCTCGGCCGACTAGTCGTTATCTACCACCTTCTTTTTGAACGGGAAGACGTTGTATACTGGATACAACTACAAACATTTGGCACGACCCTGCTAGGGGATGCCCCACTCAGTAGAGGATTAGTTCCGCTCAGTAGTAGATAAATCGAGCTCAGTAGAGGATGTCCCGCTCAGTAGGGGATATATTGTTTAGAATAAGTAAATATGATAGAAAAAAAACACGTCGAAAAATTAAAAATCTAATTCGTATATATTTTATGTCATACGAGTTATTTGCTAGACAAATTGAGGAACAGGGACGTTCTTTTACACAGAGTTTGAAAATCATAGAGACAAGAAAGGTGAGTGTGTCTTTTAGACGAAGAAACCAATTTAATAATCTACAAGTCAAACTCTTTCTTTTAAAACCGTATTCAGTCATATTCTCGTACTTTGTTAACCCTTGCGTCCACCTATGAACCGATAAGCTCCAGACGTATCTGAGAGCCATCTCAACAGATAAGACTTTGGATCAAGAACCTCGCACTCAAATGGTTGGATCCGTTCGGGAGTTTATACGTCGGGGTTTGGAAATCATTCAAAAAATGGCGTCAAGAAGGTTGCTATTTCACATTCAACGCCGTTATCTGTTTGTAAAGCACAAAGTAGACCGACCCTCTGAGAAAAAAGTCAGTCAAACGGGTTCATATACTTAGTCGTTAGAGATTTTTTTCCTGCCTAACCGGTAGTGCATCTGGAAACGTCGCTTCTCCCCGATACTTAACCACAAAAAACGTTTTATTTAAAGTACACACAAAATTTGGTACCAAATTATGAACAAAATTAATACCATATCAGAACAGCAGTGCTATTAGTGATTGTACTTTGTACTAATCTGTAACAATTTTACCATTGACGTACCTCTTCAGTGTGTACGGAAATAGAACAAAGTAATCATCCTGGATCATCAAACGTGCGCTTTTCATGACGTGCTCAAAAACTTGGACAAAAAAAGCAGCGACATTTGTCATTTTCATTGTTCATTGCTTATTTACTTTATTTGGTTATCAAAAAGTGCTCAAAATTGGCAGAATATATACAGGGTCCGTCAGAAAGAACTGGTCCCGTGTCGGTGGGGAAGGACGTGTTGGATAGTGCGAGAAGTGCCGTTTTACAGTAGTACAGAGTTAAATTTTGTTGATATATCTTCCGTTACTGTGCCCGGTATTACCAAGTGATTTACAATCGCACCCCAAATGAGATTACTCACCAAGGCCGGCGTCACGAGGAATCAAAAAATGAAGATCACAGGCAATCAGTAAGTATCGTGCTAATATTGGAATACCATCAGGAGCAGAGTAAATTCACTCTGATTTGGTGGTCATCCCAAAAGACCAGTATGCCGCAAAGGGCTCCTAAAACTAACCACAACTAGCATTAAAAATATCTATACTAATATTTTAAATGTGTTTTTAAGCATTAAGTGGCTTAATTCTGATGTTTTATCAAACGGATAGCTTGATATCGAACCTATTAGGTAGTCGAACCAATGCCATAGTACCCGATGATTTGTGTATCTCTTTTCTATCAAACACCTATACCGCACGTACACTTTTGGTAATTCAAAATAAACTGCAGTCAGAATCATTTGCCAATGCGTTCGGCTGAGTTTCAATGTGTATGAGTGAGAGATTGTATCAGCGGTTCGATTGGCAACACCGCATCTCGTACATTCCAAGGCAAGGTTTCCACCTCCATGATCAAAGATGAGCGAGTTTGGGGACTGTCGTCCTGCTTCGAATTGGTTTTCAACTGCGTACACGGCGCCAATCATAATTTGTATTGCGTATTTGTTACAGCTTTTGACCGCTCGCTGTCGCAAAATGTAACAATAACTCAGGATGTGATGACTTTATCACCGTCGATGGAAAATCTAAAATAAATTGAAACACTAAGTCGCATCAAACTTGAAATAAATAATTCTAACCTCAATGAAAGCAGAATACTATATTAAATGTTCTAACAGGTCTCCTTCTTGGGTTTGATAGTAACCTCACCTATTATAGAAGCCTGTGCGAACATGTTCTGATGTCGTATATTGGTAACGCGGTAGATTGAACGACGTCACCGTTGCTAGGCAATGTTGTGATGACCTTCGCTCTTCAGCTGGCTCTGTCTAACATCTGTTGATAGACAAGTCTCGCGCTCCTTTCTCGTACACATTGAACTCAAGCCGTCAGACAAGTTTTGTTTTCCCTGTAGATTAAGCAAACGGATTCAGTATTCTGAAACCAGAATCAGATTGAAATAATAAAAACCATGACGCAACGTACGCCACTGTTAACGCGGTGTGCCCTTCAACACCGCATCAGTGGCATGCGATGTTTTGCACCACTCTATACCATTATAGTGCTTGATTATAAATAAGACCAAGGTAATCTTATCACATACATTTATTTCAGTAAAAAAGGAGTAATATACACATAGAATATAAACTTAAGCTAAAAGTGATATCCACCACTATGGCTGCTAATGCTGTTATGGGCAGATGCATCTTTCGCCGCATTTGCGTGCGCAACTATGGCTGCCCCGGCAGCTGCAGCGTTGTTTTGGGCTATGTGGGCGGCTGCGGCTGCCTTTCTGGCGGAGGCTTCGGTGTCCTGGAGATCGGATATGGAGGCTTGCAGTTGGGCTATGATGGAGCTGACCTGTACACGTATATCAAGATTAGTATCAAAGTCAGAGTCATTTATTTCCCATAACTATATACATAATCAGCCCTATACTAGAGACAGCTTGAAAATAAATAAGATTACCCACAGAAACCTCCAAATGAGATTTGTCCGCAGGATACTTTTCAAATTTCGTTGTCTCATCAAAATAACATCATACACCATAAAATAATGTATAAGCCAAGAAAAAAACATAAAAATTAACGTCTAACAACAATAGTGCTAATATTACGATGAAATAAGCCAAAGCTTTCAGTATACAGGGTATTTCAGTTTATTGTTGTTTTAAGATTCGATAGAACTTTTAAAATTAATGCATAAAGTCTACATAAACATGGGTCTAAAAATGCGTGGCTTCCGAAATAAAGGGTGTTTAAATTTACTTTCTAACATAGTTTTTTTTAAATATTTCGAACAATATTAGATGTTTAATAGTGAAAATTGGTATACAAGGGTTTTTTGGTACGACAAAACGAACCATGGGCATAGTTTTACTGTAGCCGCTAGAGGGCGCTCTCTACTGTACCTGGAGTGTATTATGACCGAACATTTTTTCTTACTGCAATTTTTTGCTTTTTGAATAAAAAAACTGATTCTTCTCACTTTTCAACATAAATAAGCTGTCTTCTGAATGTTCGCTATAGTTAGCCGTTTTTGAGATAATTCGATTTTTAAGGTTCGATGCATTTTTAATCATTTATGATAAAATAACGTTAATTTTTAGAAGTAGGCTGTGCTTGCAAATATTTTCGAAATTTAAAGCAGAATAAGGTTAAACGTCAATTAGTTGACAGTTAATTTTGTTGTATGTTGAAACCTGAAAGGTTTTTTTGCAATGGTGAATGCACGAAATTTAGTTTCTTTTACCTGTTTTTTTTTTGTAAGTTTTATAAAAATGCCATTTTTATTTTCCAATCAAGAGTTAGCGGATATTCATTTTGTGTATGGCTTTGTAAATGGAAACGCAGCAGAAGCAGCCAGATAATACGCACGAAGATTTCCAAACAGACGACATCCAACTCGCTCAGTATTTGTAAGAGTGCATCGCCAAATAATTGAAAATGGTTTTGGAAATCTCCAAAGGGATCAAAACATAAATGTTCGTCAGCGCAGATTTACCGGTATGATTCTGCGTGAGTTTGATAGAGATCCGACCGCAAGTGTTAGGAGAGTTTCTGGTGCCTTGGGAGTTTCAGCAAGCCATGTTCACCGTGTTCTTAGAAATGACCATAGACGTTCTTAGCATTTGCAACCTGTGCAAGGACTACAGCCAGGGGACGGAGAACGAAGAATCACATTTTGTCAGTAGATTCTTGATAGAACTGATAACAATAGGGAGTTTTTAAGTAAAGTTTTATGGAGCGATGAGTCATGCTTCACTAGACGTGGAGTGGTAAATTTTCATAATCAACATATGTGGTCGCATGAAAATCCGCATGCAGTTCGGGAAATAAATTTTCAGCATGAATTTAGTGTGAACGTGTGGATTGGTATCTATCGTAATCGACTATTTGGACCCTACCTTTTGCCTGCAAGGTTAAATGCTGCGACCTTCTTGGATTTTTTAAAGGCTGAACATGCAAATATGTGGGATGATGTTATGTTAGATTTAAGAAGATTGGCCTGGTTCCAGCTTGATGGTTGTCCAGCTCATTATTCGAGAATAGTTAGAAACTGGCTGGACGAAAATTATCCAGAAAGATGGATCGGCCGTGGAGGACCAGTCGCCTGGCCTCCACGATCCCCTGACCTAAATCCATCAGATTTCTTTGTGTGGGGATTCCTAAAAGAAAAAGTGTACCAGACTCCCGTAACCACAAGAGATACGCTAACAGACAGGATCAGGAATGCATGTGACGAAATAAGGCCTTATTTGAATAATGCTATACCACGTTCGATCATTCGTAGATGTGAATTGTGTATTGAACAATTGGGTTTACATTTCGAGCAACTACTTTAGATTTTGTATGTTTGTCCTAAATATCCAATAGCATTTTAGTTGTAAATAATTAATTTAATTTGTTAAAAATAATATTGGAAAATTAAACAAATTAATATTCTGTTTTTTGTGTTTATTTGGAGTTAGGAATTATTGCTGTGTTTAAAAACATAATCTAAACGATCATCTTAATTACTTGTAATGCCCAAATCGAAAATGTGAAAAAAAATATTATTTTCCCATAAATAATTGAAAATGCATGGAACCTTAAAAATCGAAATATCTCAGAAACGGTTAACTATAACAAATACTCACAGGAGAGCTTTTTTAAGTTGAAAAGTGCGAAGAATCATTTTTTTTATTCAAAAAGCAAAAAATTGCACTAAGAAAAATTTTTCGGTCATTTTAATACACTACAGGTACAGTAGAGAGCGCCCTCTAGCGGCTACAGTAAAACTATGTCCATGGTACGTTTTTTCGTACCAAAAAACCCTTGTATACCAATTTTCACTGTTATACGTCAAATATTGTTCGAAATATTTAAAAAAAAACTATTTTAGAAAGTAAATTTAAACACCCTGTATTTCGGAAGCCACGCATTTTTCTACCCATTTTTTGTATAGACTTCATGCATTAATTTTAAAAGTTCTATCGAATCTTAAAGTTATGCAACAATAAACTGAAACACCCTGTATATTTGTGAGAGTTTACACAAGTGCGAGTATTTTCGAAACACAATCTCTCCATGTCTATACAGGGTGTCCCGCGAGGTAAGGGACAAAAATTTTCAACGTGTTCCTCAGGTCAATCCGAGTGGAAAAAGTCCTATGAACATGGATATGTAAATGCTTCCTTATCGAGATAATGATTTTTTTATTTTTAGGGTGCTAATGGTGGGAAAACCACAATATTGTTGGATAATTACTTTTATTTAACACAAAATTACTAGGTCCAATAAAAATAACTATTCACAATAGTTGTTTAAAGTGTTAACCTTCACACTGTAAACATAGTCTAGCCCGTTTAATAATGTGGCTAGTGGCTTTCCCAATAACAAGACTATTACTTCTTATGTCGTCAGCGACATCAGTAATTTTACGGAGCAGTTCAGCGATTTATCTGCATACACTAAAGACTTCCGATATCCCCACAAAAAATAATCCAAGAGATTTAAATCGGGTGAGTGGGGTGGCCAAGAAACTGCGCCCTCTCGTCCAATCCACCGCCCAGGAAAAGTGTTTAAATACTCAGTCACATTTCTACCACTGTGGGGCGGAGCACCGTCATCATGTAGCCACATCTGTTGTCTTCTCTGCAGCGGAATATCCTCTAACAAGACAGGCAGTTCTTCTGGTAAGAATTGAAGATAAACTTCAGATGTCAACCGACCATCAAACACAAAGTGATCCCCTAACAAACGGTGTTGAAAATTCCGTTCGATAGTTGCGTGGGGATTTTCAAGCTGTCAAGAAAGGGAATTCGTCAAATTATTGACGCCGTCTCGAGTAAAAGTAGATTCTTCGGTGAACAAAATCTTCTTATTACGATTTGCGAGGAGCCAGTTACAAAACTGCATACGAGCGTCCGGATCAGTGAGCAGCAGAGCTTGGACATGTTGCAGATGAAATGGGTACAAACCAAAGTTATGCATTGTTCTCCACACAGTCATTCAACTAACACCAGTGCGACGTGATATTCTGCGGACGCTGGTTGATGATGTCCGTTCAACACTATCCAGTATTTAGTCATGGGCAGCTTCTGATGAACGTGGTATTCTTTGATTTGGATACCAGCAGCGGTATCAAACAAACATCATTTCACCGTATTCCTCACTTGTAAAAACAAACATGATAGTAATTTTTGCAAAGTTCAATCAAACTGACACAACTACTCCGTCAACAAACAAACACCAGCATATTAATCGGGCAGTACAACGTGAATGTGGACTTTAATTATTGTAAACAGTTGTTGTCGTACGAACAGTTTCAAATTTTTTGTTAAATAAAAGCAATTTTCTAACAGTATTGTGGTTTCTGCCCACTAAAAATGGAAAAAATCATATCTCGATAAGGAAGCATTTGCGGACTCATGTTCATACGACTTTTTCAACTCGAACTGACCCGAGGAACATGCCGAAAAATGTTGTCCCTTACCTCGGGGGACACCCTGTATATCTATTCAAAATCGTGGGAGGTGTTCTCATTATCCATTATCTCAGTCTTTAGAAAACAAAATATTTACTGCCGTATCAGGCAATTCAGTGTAAATACGAGGTGCTATACAACGTAAGGCTGTTTGACCTTTTGGTAAAAAATGTTATTCTTCTTTTTTAACTTCTGCCTTGTACTGTAACAATGGGGTATTGGTATTGACTTCAAATCCGCGAATGAATGAATGAATCTTGATATTAGAGGCATTCCGGCCACCATAAGGAGCCAGTGCATAGTCCGCTTAAGCGGGCCCTTATGCACCTCTACCATCCTTAGATCACAAGCCTCGCCCTTTTAGCGAAGTTGAGAATCGCCTTGAGTCCAAGCTCCTTGATGTCCTGAGGGTCCAAAGTAATGGACCGCAGTATAGTCTGCCTATAGTAGCTCAGAGCTTCACAGCGACACAAAACGTGCGCCGAGGTCTCTTCCTCTACTCCGCAGCGTTCACACAAAGGATCCTCAGCCACCCCCATCACATGCAGGTGACGCATTAACGTGTTATGGCCAGACAACAGTCCCACCAGCAACCTTAGGTTGGCTCTATCCAGAGATAGGCAGAAGCGTCCATCCTTAGCACTGGGCCCTTCAATGAGTTCTCGTGCCTGGCGGAAATGTCTGGAGATACTTCTCCATTTCTGAGAGTGTTGTCTTGCAACCCACGTCTCCATTTTCCTCCTAGCTTTATGCGCGGACACTCCTAGAGCTGGTTCAGGACCAACGAGCTTGCTGGCTGATCCTGTCTTCGCCAGAGTGTCCGCCGTCTCATTGCCCCTTATCCCAGCGTGCCCCGGTACCCATATTAACGATACCGGATGCCTCGCTGCGAGGCAATCCAGAGCCTCCCTGCATTGCAATACAAGACTCGAAGTAATCTTACAGGCACTTGGTGCTTTCATTGCAGCCTGGCTGTCGGATAAGATTGTTATTCTTCTCCTAGGCCCACCCTCCTTTAGAATGTGAGATACACAAATCGCAAAGATTTCCGCCTGGAAAATGGTGGTGTATCCACCGAGAGGCAGAGACAGCCTAGTTCTAGCGAACTACACATACCCGAAAAATTAGCTTCCGTCCCAAAAACATACTTCTTCCTACATTGCACATACGAAGAAATATTTGCATACAGGTATATGTACATCGTAACTTAAAAATTTTATTAGAAAAGTTTACCTAGTAGTGTGCTGATTCATAACGTAAATATTAATAAATTCTATGCAGATTTCAAAACAGCCTTCCAAATGTGAAAAAAATATGAGATATTTCCACAACCTTTTTTTGATATGAGCCATTTGGGGTTTTGTACTGCAAGTTTTTGGGTTACATCTAACCTGTTCGTGAATATCAAGGCGAATGAACAAAAATATTATAATATCTTTCGAGTTAAGAAATATCATTTAGTTGGTAACGGCAGATCATTAAAATTTTCCATTCTAAATTAAATTTACCTAGGCTTATGCAATAAAGTCGACAAGACAGAAGGTGGTTCTATCTTTTTAGCAACTCAAAAACCAGTCATCCAAAGCCCCTCCCTTTAAGCTTATATCAGCAATTTTCCAATATCTCAACAATTTGAAAATGAAACATCATGGTATGTCAGGTCAAATTACTCCGTTTAAAAGGGCCTATCCAATGAAATATATATAACAAATGTATGATTGAGTCACCACGTAGCTATCAATTGCCCTGTAGGAATAAAAAATTTTCAAATCGAAGGGGTACTTTTGGCTACAGTTTTTAGATACTATGCGCAGTAACAGAGTTATTGACCAAGCCCCCTATAAAACCCACCTTGTATGTGTAAAATTCATAACAATAATAATTTATCCATCTTGTGGATCACAAGGTGATAGGATTTGTATGAAAAGAATTGCACACATACTTGAAAAAATATTCAAATATCAAAAAAATACGATGTGTGGCCTGATTTTCGCTGCTTTAAGCTTATGTTCCCTCCTCAATGGAACAACTAATTAAAAATGCTAGAAGTTGGCTTATTTTCTGTGTGATACTCACTCTGTTCTTAGCCTGGATCACCATCGCATGCTGTGCAGCCGACGCATTGGCAGCTTCGGCTGCAGCCTGCTGTGAGTGCTGCGCTCCAGCTTGCGCAGAGGCCAAAGCTGCGGACAGAGTGTTCAGCTGCGCCTGTGCGTGGTGCGCTGCTTCCTTTGCAGCTTGCGCAGCTGCGTTGGTCTGCTGGTAGTGGGTCACTTCTATGTTCAGCTGTTGCTGAGCTTCGTTCAGTTGATGCTTCAGGTTGTGTACCAAGGCTTGCTTGCCTACCAAAGCGGCTTGGGCAGCTTGAGCAGCCTGAAAACGTTTTTGAATTTCATAATTTTATCCCTAGATAAATACAATGTACCGAATTTGATAACTTAAAATTGATGATAAATGAACAAAGTAAGCAAAGTACTCAACGGATGATGCCAGAGACTGTATGGAATCTAATATTATTATATTATTGGATAGCTCTTTTTGCGCCAGTGTCAAGTCTTAGACCTTTGAGAACTATACAGATCTTTGTATTATACAGGGTGCGGCAGAGAGGATGGACGTTTTTGGGATGGGTAGTACTCTCCGCCTCCGTCTAAGAGAGAGGTGGGGAGGGTGCCGTTTGACTCGTGAGATCCTAGCATTATTTTACCAGTTGTCGTTATGGAGCCATGGACGGTGGAGCTCCGCGTTTTCGCCTATGATTGTTTCGTCCGAAATAATGAGTCAGTCATCGTCGTACAGCGTGAGTTTCGTCGACACTTCAACATTCATCTAAATAGAGGTGTTCCGTCTCGAAGCACCATCCTTCTTTGGGTTGAATCACTTCGCAGGCGTGGTGAACTGGTCAACAGAAGACCAAGAGGAGCGCCGCGAACAGTTCGAACTCCTGAAAATGTTGAACGCGTTCGACAGGTCTTTCTTCGCAGTCCGACTCGATCTGCCCAGAAACATGCTGCTGCACTTCGCCTTAGTGATCGTTCGGTAAGGCGAATTTTGCATATGGATCTCCGCTTTCACCCCTACAAATTGGCCATTGTGCAACAGTTACATCCCGGAGATTATGCACAACGAATGAACTTCGCACGTGAGATGGAAGCACTGATAGATGAAAATGAGAACCTCATTTTGTTTATGAGTGTCGAAGCCAACTTTCACCTAAACAGCATGGTTAACCAGCAGAATTGTCGTTATTCGGCTAATGAAAATCGAAGACGGTAATGGTCGTGATGTTACCGTGAACTCAGAGCGCTACGTCGACATGATCACCAACTTCTTTCTCCCTGAATTACGACGGCACGTTTTTTTTTTCTTTTTTTTTTATACTCCAACTACCACGAAGGCCTAAGGCCTAAGTACCCATTGGGTACCGTGGGGCTATAGGGGGATGCATGGGAAAGGGGGGGGACGCCACACGGACTCTGGCGAGGGAACACGTGTGCATGCAACATGCACACATTCTGGCTCCGCCTACGAGAACCGCCGGGTGGTACCTCCGCGTTCGACAATCAGAGACCATCTACCACCTACGGACAATCACAACATCCATAGCCAAGAGAAAAATTTCTCCTGGGACGGGGCTCGAACCCGCACAGCGCACGGCGACTGATCAGGAGACCGAAGAGTCTACTACTGCGGCCACCGCTGCTGCCTGAGTGTTCCGTGTTGACGTGTTCCAATTCGACGTGTGTGGTTCCAGCAGGATGGGGCGACCGCCCACACAGCCCGAGCATCCATGGACGTTATTCGCCCTTTCTTCCCTGGTCGCCTTATTGCCAGGTTTGGCGATGTTCATTGGCCTCTTCGGTCTCCAGATTTATCCATATGCGATTTTTTCTTATGGGGACACCTCAAAGCTAGAGTATACGCGAATAAGCCCCGAACTCTGGACGAATTGAAAGGCGAAATTCGCGTGGAAGTCGCCCAAGTTGAGAGAGCGATGTTGGAGAGAGTCTACGGAACTTCCAAGAACGCCTCCAGCACTGCATTAACGATTTCGGCCACCACATGCCTGATGTGATTTTCCACACTCGACTGTCTCAAATGCTATTTCCTTGTGAATCTGATTCCATCAATAAATTTGTTTTCGAGTAAAAATTAACTACTTTATGATTTTTTAAAACCGTCCATCCTCTCTGCCGCACCCTGTATGTTACAACAAACATTCCGCTCTTAGTTATCACGCGTTTTGCACTGTTGCAACTAGTTTTGACTAACTGTCTTTGTTAGAACTAGAACTAACTGCTGCTTGAAAATGAATGTCAGTTAAAACTAGTTACAATTAGAGAAAATGCGTTTTGTCAGACTTCAAACAGACTAAGCCGTTTAAGTTCTGGTTTGGGTTACTGGCTTTGAGTTTAAAATTCAAATATCTACATATAAATATCAGTTAAAACTATTTATAAATGAAAAATCTTAGTTATATTATGGACACATAGACAGAACTAGTTTTAACTAGGCAAAGCGCGTCATAACTAACGAGTTTTAACTGTATATATATTCTCTTTATGTACAAAAACTCCATATCCCGTTATTAACGTAAAAAATATGTAACACAAAAATCTATACTGCTTGAGATTTTTGGTGAGCCGCAGGACTATTATGTAAAAAACCTAAAAACGTAAAAAACCGACAAAATGCCATCTTGCAGACTAAGTAGCTTTTAGCGTGCAAGTAATTCATTCCACGATATGATCACTGCGTCATCAAAAGCGCCCATCTATGAAGGAATGACTCAACGATACGACACGCTCAAGCATGTATTGTTGATTGCAGAAAGTTAAGTAGTGTTTATCTCTGAAAATGTGGAAGAAACTTGGTTGAGTAGCGTGATCGCATCTGGATGATTATGTGAATTGGTCTGCATGTGTATAAAATCAGTGATATTTGCTAGGTGAGAAAATTATTACTGAATATGCTGCCAATGAAGTATATCTTTTAGCTGTGCCCGACGGGTTATTTATATGTTGTCCTTTCTAACGACAAGTTATGTCTAAAGTTATAGATTAGGATTTTTCCCGTTTTTTCGTGTTTTCAAAAACATTGAGCAGAATTACGAGAAAACACCACAGCACCCGCGTTGTGTGTAATTACTGTTAGCATGCATTTGACTTGGGCTGCGACCGTGTACAGCGTATACAGGGGACTTCGAAGTTGAGTCATTTATTTTAACAGTGAGTAGATCTGATCAAAAGAAATGTTTTTTTCCTTTACCATTTTTCTGGTAAAATTAAAGTAACAAAGTTATAGCCCTTTGGAAGTTTGAGTACCGCCCTGTCTCAATAATAATATTATGTGCTCGTGTTTGGCGACAACGGATATAATCCGCCTTATCGGTTCATCGCATCGGAAACAAAAAAGCGAAAGAATTTGGAACGATGTTTTTACAATTATTTTATTCATTTGTATACAGTCAGTGTCAGTCGGTAACGCGTAAGTGAATAGTGTTGTCTGTTGCGTGGCTCAAACGAAATAAAAAATGGCACATGTTTATGCGGATCGGTTTCCCAATCGAGTGCAACCAACCCCTCGTGCCTTTGTTAATGTAGTACAACGGGCTCGTGAATCAGGTGACGGCATGCCGGTGCTCCAAGCCCTCACGATCAAATACAGGTCCGCACTGAAATACTTGTCGGGAGGATACTTTATACAACAAGGTAAAAAATTTTTTTAATTTTTTTTTTATTTTTACACACATATTTTGGTTTATCTTCCTTCTACAATCATTATCTGAAAATTAATGACTCAACTTCAAAGTCACCCTGTATAGTTGTAACATGTGGTATGAAAGTATGAAATATAAGATTCCACATAAAGTTAATTACTTCACTAACTAGGGATCCGATGGCGCTTGTCATTATTCTTTGTCCGACGGTCACCGAAATGTCAAGTAGTATAACTTTTTTGTGTTTCATATTTTTTTTATGTTAATAGCTGGAGTCTGCAGCTTCTGTCTACAAAGGGAAATGTATAAATAATTGAAGCACGATGATAAAGTACTTTAACTTGTCATTTATTAATAAAAATAAATCGGTATCCATTTATTATTGAATGGTAGCCAGGGTAACCGAAACAGCTGTAAGCAAAGTAAAAACATACCACCTGTTGTTTACCTAAGTAGACGTCAAAATGTGGTGGATTCCCGTGAAAAATAGTTGGGTGTAAACAATATTATGAATCTTACTATAACTAATTTTTATAAAGTACTCAACAATTTTGAAAGGTGTAACATTTGAAACTAGGCTCCATTAATAACTCCTATTGAGCTTAAATAGAGCTACCTAATGACCCATTATACGTAGCTATTGGAGGTGGGTAACAAAATTTGCATCATCATTTGGTGTTGTTTCTTAGTTTTGCTACCATTGACGATTTTTTCTTAACAATGTAATCAAAAGTGCAAATAATGCAACAGGCTTATCATAAATGTGTAACAAAAATAAATTTCAAGCGAAAACCGATCCCTGGGAAAAATGCCCGGTTACATTTTGCACCCATAATCTTGAAGAAGCTGAAGTGGTTTCTACATTGGATTATAATAGATTATGGTATTTCCGGAAGCGGAAGTGAGTCTGACCATACAGAGAGAGGTTGTGGAAGTGTAAGGGGGGTTGTAGCGGACCCTTGAACCTGGAAGTGTGTGAGAGAGGGAACTCGCCTGCTGACCGTCAAGACACGAGAACGGACGTCAGCGTGAATTGCCAGCATCGGCTTAGCTGATATTTTATAAAGGGTGTCTCGATAAGAGAGCCGGATTTGATTGTCAAGAAAAACTATTTCTTTTCGAATTAAGCAACTATTTATATTTCATCATGAAGATGAATAGTTGCGATTAGACATGAAATAGAACATTCGGTAAATGGCCACCACGAAACCTCCGGCACAGGGTCAGTCTTTTCTTAAAATTCTGGATAACGTTTTCGCACAACTGTGGCGCTATTTCGTCGATAACGCGCCGTATATTATCTTCAAGGCGTTCAAGCGTTTGTGGCTTGTTCATTGGCTTTAGATCGCACGATCTTGGTGGTCAATTTTAATCGCTAAATCGAGAGATGACACAGTCTGGAAACTTGGTCCGCAGTAACACCATGGTTTCGCGTGCTGTGTGGCAGGTCGCACCGCCTTGTTGGAAGAACACATCCTCCCCATCAATTCGATCCAAACAGTTACCGTTGTTCATTTACGAACAAATACGGTCCAATCGCTCCGCCACTCCACAATGCGCACCAAACGGTAACTCGCGGCGGATGAATTGGTTGTTCGATTATTACACGACGGTTTTCAGAACCCCAAATTCGGAAGTTCTGCTTATTAACGTACCCGTTCAGTTGAAAATGTGCCTCATCAGAGAAAATGATTTTCTTCGAGAAATCCCCATCAATTTGGTGGTTCACCAGCGCCCAGTCAACGAATTCACGGCGCTGCGCATTTGAACCTTGTACGCATGCAAGCACAGATCTGTTGTCAAAATTTGTTGCAGAGTGGGTCTGGTAAGGTTCAAAACTTGGCCGCGATACCGAATGGAAGTGCCTTGATTCTCGGCCACACTTTCCCGCACTGCGACTATATTTTTGATAAACCGACCAGGACGTCGACGAACAGTGATCTTCTCATTCAGCAACGTCAATTTTGTCTCAAATTTTGTAACTAAACGGCGGACTATCGACTCATTTGGCACATTATTGCGACCGAAAATTGTACGTTATTTGCGAACTCCTTCCGCATAATTTTCTCCATTTTTGTAGGGTGTTTTCACAATGATTAAACGTTATATGTTGAGAGTCCCATAGTGTGAATAAAGAACCAGTACAAAGCTAAACCTTAGCTAGGTTTTTTCACAATTTGCAATGTTTTTAATCATCTAATCACCTTCTTCTGAAAAACCTGTACTTACCCCGTGAGCAGCTGACGCCAAGGTACTCTTAATCCCATACGCAGCCTGGCTACCCTGCGTATGCTGATTCAACACAGCGTTCTTTGCCTGCACCGCACTGGTGTGAGCTAAACTGGACAGCTCCGCCCCACTGCTGCTTCCAGATGTAGCCCCAAGACCGGCACCAAGGTGCCCTTGGTCGTCATACTCGTTCGACGCAGCTGCTGCTGAAGCTGCTGCCGCGGATGATGTGTACAGATAGCTGTGGCCTCCAGCTGCAGGTTCTGAGTCTTCTGCTGAGTCCACATCAAGCACTACGTTGTCTTGCTCCTGCGTTGATTCGGACTTAAAATCCGAGAGGCCTGCTGAGCAGACGGCGACTGGAAGAGAAGTTGTATGACTTAGAAGATGAAGATTGAAATAAATGAGTGCTGGATAGGTTTCAATAAATTACTAAGTTGACACTTCGTATCCTGGGGATTTGCGTTCATAGAAAGGGTTTCGCATTTATCCTCGTCTAGATACCTCCAGTTATGGTATACTGGTATACTCTCTGTCGCGTCGTATAGCTTCAAAGCATTAGATATACGCTCGAGACTTTTATTCTTCTCATAAAATATGTATAAAAGGCAGGACTACAACAGTTTCTGATACGAAAATATTGCAATATCCTCCAATCAAAAAAAACTAGTCTTATCTCAGTAAGCCGTTTGTAGAAGAGATTCGAAAAACTAAATATTCATTCAATCCTACAAATATGTAGTGTCTATCTTATTCGACAAAAATAGTATCACGATAAAATCAGATCTTTGCGAAAGGTCAAAACCAAATTCATATAGGGTAAATCGTAGCGATTTTTAAATTTTTGACCACTGTATTCAAAAATTAAACTCTTTATTGATAATATTAGTACACAAGCACAAATAAACAGTTAGCTTTCTATAAATTAAAAGTTCAACTGAATCAAACAACATCTTAAGCAAAAAAATACAAAAATAGAAAGGCTTGCAAGTGGTACGATTAAGCGACAGGTTTTTGTTATTTACAGTTCTCGCACACATATTTTTTTATTTGCTTTTTGGTTCCTGCACATGATGTGTGGGCCCATTTTTCACATTTACTACATCTCACCATAACTTCAATAATGTTGTCTTCACATATAAAGCAGCACCAATCAGTAGGATCATATTCTATTTGAGCCTTTACCTCGGCAGATTTTGAAGTGGAAGATTGACCGTCAGGTGCTTCAAAAAGAGAGGTAGAAGGAAGCTCAAGATTTTTTTTTAGTTTTTGGGTTGATTTTTGCCTTTGGTTATGTTTGTTTTCTAATTCATCCTTATAGGGCGTGGTGCTCAGAATGACGGCTGGTTGAGAAAATTTTCGTCTCTTAGCGTAACCTTTATCATCGGGTAGAGGGTATTTTATATTATATAATATATTTTATATTTTATTTGCTAAACACGCCTACGGAAATAAATAGTGTTTTGTCAAGAGCCCAAGGTTCTTTAAAATGTTGCATACAAATTGATCTGACAAGGTTCATCAATACTCGAGTACCTGCGTCTGATTAAACATATCATACATCCTATCTTTTCAATCATATATTTCATACTATAGAAAGAGGTAGTCGTGATACACATATGTAGATAAGTGTATAGTGGATTTTTGCATAGCAAAGTTAAATGTAAAATTCTATAGAGTCGCTAAAAGGAGCAACCAGTAAGTTTTCCATCTCTAAACTTTGTCTTCATAAAACTATATATCATTTTTATGGGTCATTGCTACTAAAAGGATATACCAACAATTGTCAACATCTAAAAATTGAACTCTGCAGAAGCTGATTCTAAGACATATTCATCGTTTTCTGTAGCATAATCGGAGGTATCTCAAATAATCCGACTTTATACCTCGCAAAAAATCGCTACTAAGTAGAAAGTGAACTTTAACCCCGTTGTTCCATCTCTCTCTTATTTTTTGTCTATTTGTCTTTTTCTGCTATCTGGTCAACCTAGTACCTGACAGAATGGAATACGAGCCCCTTCCCACTTCAGTTGGCCCAACTATTGAAATCTTAGTTTTTTTTTGTCAAACACAAATAATAAAAATGTGGCAGGGTGTTATAGGTTTAACATATTAACAATGAATATTTTGATAATATATAGTAGAAAACACCAACTTTATCACTCCCTAATCAAATTTGCAGCATAAAAATAACACATGTTGCAATTACAGCATATCAACCTATTTTCATTTCAATGCAAAATAAGTCTATAACGCATAGGTGGCTGTGACAAATAAAAGCAATGTCAATTGTTTTTATTAATCACAGCTGTCAGAATACGTTTAAAATAGTTTTGGGTAGTTAAGGTTTTCAAAATAGGTAGAGGAAAGGTTATTAGTGAGAAAATTCGGTTACTGATAATTAAATTTTTTAATTCTGGGAAATCAAACTCAGAAGTTGCAACTTTGTTAGACTTATTGCGGTACAGTGTGAAAAATATTGTTAGCAGATATAACGTAACTGGTTTAGTTAATATTAAGCCACGATATGTGAAAAAAAGTAATATCACAAATGCCGACCGAAGGGCATTAAGAAGAATAATCGTGAAAAACAGGCGTGCCAATTATTTACAATTAAGTGCTCTGTGGAGTGACGCTGTTGGAAGGAGAATTTCGAGGTCTACAACCCATAGAGAGGCCCACAAACTGGGATTTAGCACTTGCAAGGTAAGCTTTCTTATAAAAAAAAGTGACGCAAAAACCGTAAAGTTGCCCAACTTGTTTATAGGCCAAAGAAAAGCCACTATTAACTCCACTGCAAAAGAAAAATCGGCTTAGATGGGCTAAAGAACATAACAATGGTGTGCAATACAATGGAGTGATGAGGCCCGATTCGAAGTTTGTGTTTTCGACAGTCGCAGTAGAGTTATACGCAAAAAAAAATAAGCTTTCCATGTTGACTGTCTGAAGAGAAAAGTGAAATTTCCAGCATCCATTATGGTCTGGGGCAGTATGTCATCATAGGTAGTAGGAAAACATCATTTTATTGATGGAAATGTGGATACAAACAAATATTTGGCAATTTTAGAAGAATCGCTTTTACCAGTGATGGAAGAATGTTTGACATTTTGTGTTTCAGCAATATGGTGCAGCGTGCCATACCTCAAAAAAGGCAATAAAATGGATGGAAGAAAATAATGTACCACTTTTGAAATGGGTTTCTGGCAGTCCAGATCTGTCACCTATTGAAACTTTGTGGCACGAGATGAAAAAGGTTCTACGACAACATCCTGCTCTTACAATCACCGAACTGAGGCAAAAACTTCAAGAAATATGGGATTGCTTTACACCAAATAATAATAAAAATAAAAAATAAAGTTGATGTTACCCAATGGTAATTTTTCAATTGTTGCTTTGTTAACTTCGCGCATTTATTCGCACATTGTTTATTTGTTCAGATGTTCTATTGATTATAGGTCTAAGTGATTTCAAATATGTATGTTTTACGACTAGAGTGTATCTAAAATGTTTTTGAGAAAATAAATTGTTTTGGAAGTAAATAGTTTCGTCATGTTTAGTTTATAAAGGCATATTTTGATACAAATCTTGAAGTGGGCCAACTAAAGTGGGAAGGGGCTCGTATGTACACCAATCGCTGAATTTTGCAAACGATGGCTTAACTATTAAGGACGATTCAATCATGATCCTAAGCAGATAATAAGATAACAAAACAACTTAGGTATTGCACCAAAGACGCGAAACATGTATTTGAAATTTCGATAGGATAGTAGTTAGAGTTTGTGTTGTTAAGAAACACTTCCTGTAAATAATTGCTGTACAAATCTCCAATACCTAAACGTTCTACCACATGAGAAGGGATTAGCATACTTGTTATATTTCAGTGACTACCCAACAGAGCAGAAGAACATTGTGCAAGTATTTTTGATATATTTACGTCACTTTCCACAAGAATCACGCTTACATGCACATATAGTTTTTCAATTAGTGTGCTCATCTTTCAAGTTTATCATGAAAATTTAATTGTCTGATTATCAAATTATCATAAAATCATCATCACTACCGCTTTTTCTTCATGTTGAATTCGGTCAGACAGTCACATGAATTAACATTTTCTTTCTTCTCTGATTTGAAGTTATTTTAATTCATTATAGAAAAAAATCCAATTAAGAGCTACTACAAACAGAATTGAGAACTTTCTTGGGCTTGTCTAACAAAGTTTACGTCATTAGCAACTTAAATAAGTTGATAAAATAGAAGTTCGGAAAATGCAAGGATATTGAATTGATGAAGAATTGGCTGTATAATTTTTACGTTATCTTGATGATCATACACCTAGCTATTAGTTATGTATCGACTTGAAAATAAAATTTCAAAATGCGAAGAAAAACATATTTCCACACTGTTTTGAGATTCAGATTCAGATAGTAAAAAAACGACCATTATTTGGATCAACAATGATAGGTAATTTCCCTTTTTCTGTTTACACTGCAATACGTTTCAACTTGTTTTCAAGGATATTCACTCTTCTTATTAGGATTTTCCATTTTTTCTGGCTCTTTATCGCTTAGTTATTTTAACGGTGTTCTTAAGTTTGTATATTTGGGTACTTACTATATCATTGATGTTTTAAGATTATAATTTCCCTCGTGTCATATGTGTTTCTAGATATGTGGAAGATTCCCAAAGTGTCACCTATACCCAAAATATCAAATACAAAGCAAAGGTCATACCTCAGTCCATTGAGTATTTTGCATTGAATGTCACAAATCATAGAGTGGAGCGACCAATTTCCCAATTTATCGAGAACAAATATGTCATACCTAGAGTCCAATCATTTTTCCTGAAATTGTGGAACAACAACAGCTCTCCCTTGTATTATCAATGACATTGGATTCCAGTTTGTTTAATATTACTGAATTACGGTAAAGCTTCTGATACGACTGACCACGGAATTTTGTCTGCCAAGCTTAAATTCTATGGATTCCTTACTAAAAGATATCAATTCTCAAATAAATCCATTCTCAGTCCCGTTTTATTGTCTATATACATTTCGGATTTTTCAAAACATATAAAACGCACCACAATTCATCACTATGGAGATGATACACAAATACGAGCCCCTTCCCACTTTAGTTGGCCCAACTATTGAAATCCTAGTTTTTTTCTTATCAAACACAAATAATAAAAATGTAGCAGGGTTGTTATAGGTTTAAAATATTAACAATGAATATTTTGATAATATATAGTAGAAAACACCAACTTTATCACTCCCTAATCAAATTTGCAACATAAAAATAACACATGTTGCAATTACAGCATATCAACCTATTTTCATTTCAATTCAAAATAAGTCTATAACGCATAGGCGGCTGTGACAAATAAAAGCCATGTCAATTGTATTTATTAATCACAGCTGTCAGAATACGTTTCAAATAGTTTTGGGTAGTTAAGGTTTTCAAAATGGGTAGAGGAAAGGTTTTTAGTGAGAACATTCGGTTACTGATAATTAATTTTTTTAATTCTGGGAAATCAAACTCAGAAATTGCAACTTTGTTAGACTTATTGCGGTACAGTGTGAGAAATATTGTTAGAAGATATAACGTAACTGGTTCAGTTAATATTAAACCACGATATGTGAAAAAAAGTAATATCTCAAATGTCGACCGAAGAGCATTAAGAAGAATAATCGTGAAAAACAGGCGTGCCAATTATTTACAATTAAGTGCTCTGTGGAGTAACGCTGTAGGAAGGAGAATTTCGAGGTCCACAACCCATAGAGAGGCCCACAAACTGCGATTTAGCACTTGCAAGGAAAGTTTTCTTATAAAAAAAAGTGACGCAAAAACCCTAAAGTTGCACAACTTGTTTATAGGCCAAAGAAAAGCCACTATTAACTCCACTGCAAAAGAAAAAGCGGCTTAGATGGGCTAATGAACATAGACAATGGACACCTCAACAATGGTGTGCAATACAATGGAGTGATGAGGCCCGATTCGAAGTTTGTGTTGGCGACAGTCGCAGTAGAGGTATTCGCAAAAAAAAATGAAGCATTCCATGTTGACTGTCTGAAGAGAAAAGTGAAATTTCCAGCATCCATTATGGTCTGGGGCAGTATGTCATCAAAAGGAGTACGAAAACATCATTTCATTCATGGAAATGTGGATACAAACAAATATTTAGCAATTTTAGCCGTAATAAAAAATAAAGGTGGTGTTACCCAATGGTAATCTTTCAATTGTTGCTTTGTTAACTTCGCGCATTTATTCGCACATTGCTTATTTGTTCAGATGTTCTATTAGTTATAGGTCAAATATGTATTGTTTATAACTAGAGTGTATCTAAAATGTTTTTGAGAAAATAAATTGTTTTAGAAGTAAATAGTTTCGTCATGTTTAGTTTATAAAGGCATATTGTGGTAGAAATCTTCGCAATCGATAAATCCAATTAACAAAGATCTAGACATACTTTTCAATATCTAAGCTGCTCATAGCTTGACACTAAATGCGAATAAATAAAAAATAACGATTTTTGCATCAAGAACATACGTAATATTACTATATTACAAATCTATCTAAATTACCAGTCCATAAAATTCTGCTACCAATTGTAACAATTATCAAAATTTTTGAATTATGGTTTGACGATGAATTAAAATTTGATTTTCATATTAAAGAATTATGTTCACAATCAAATAATATTCTCAAAGAAATATACGAGTATTGAACAGTAAACTGAAAATGCTATCATGCGATGCTTTTATAATTTTAAGAGTTTCATACTGAGCAAGTATATATGGCCCAACTATAATAAAAAACGATAAAGGGAAGGTGCAATGCCTAAAAAGCTCTTGTTACCATTTTTCTCTAGATACCTGAAAATTTTATCACACAAAGAGAATGGTAAAATCAACAAATCAAGCTTACGTTTAGTCTATGAAATTTTATTGGATAAGAAACCAGAATCACTTCTAAATATATTCAACAAATTTTAAACTATCAATAACATGGCGACCAAAAGTTATTAGTTCTACCTAAGCACCATACATCTCTCTACAAAAAGATCTTCCCTTATATACCGCCGCAAAGTTATAAAATAATCTTCAAGTTGAATTTCAACATGATACTCTTATTGATCTTAAAAAGAAGCTGGAATTATGCTGAGTTAGCAGTACAGAATCACTTCCTCACCACTCTGTCACTCAATCGACCTAAATGACATAAATTAGATCACATACGATATTTCTATCTAGTTTTACCAAAAACATATAAGTTATAGCAATAAATGGCTAAAGATATTTTTATAGATCTTCGAGACATTTATAAAGGTTAATTTTATATAGGATGAACGGTTGAGTTGAAAAATACCATCATAGTGACGCTCCACTAATTTGATTCTCAAAATTTAGCCTATTGTCGTATGATGGAAGTATAATGTAAAAGGATAGAAAAAACTTAACGACACGAGGATGATATCAAGAATCGCTTGAATTGCGCTCTTTAGATGATATCTCCAATACCCAATCAATAAAATGCAATTAAAAAATATACTCACTCGCAGTAGCAACTACAAAAACGAAAAGCTTAGACATGGTGCCTGAAAAAAAATAAGACCGCGGATTAACAAAACATTCTGAAGAACGGATACACCGTCTCACCTGCAGTTACCGCACTACTTCGGATGGTTTTCGAAGGTGTCTTTGATATCACTGATCCATTTTTCGGTCGGACTAATATTTATATACACTGAAAATTGGCGGGGAAAGGGCGAAGAATGTGTATCAGCTCGGATGTTTTGGATGGGACGGGAACCAGTGGCGCGGAAATGTTATCAGAGAAAATATGAATTTGTGTCGATTTACAATTTACGATGTTAGTAGTGAATTAATATTTTTAAGGTATGCACATTTTAAATTGTGCTATTAGTGGATCTGAAGAATGTTATATTTTTATACAGGGTGTTTCACAACTTATCCGACAAATTTTAACCACATATGCACTGCTACGAAAGAAGTTCATTTCTCGGAAAAGAAAATGTAATAAAAGTTCTACAGAAATTAAGTGTCAATAATAAATTGAAAGATAAATATCTGTATGTTGTGTTCATCGTCGTGATATTATAATACGCGTCAATAATTTATTTTAGCAAATGTTATATCAAACAACTGACGAAAACCAAATACCAGGATTTTTTGTTTCTTCATACTGATATGAACGTGTACATAAAGTTTAATCTGTATCGTCGGTGATCTGAATGAAGAACGGTCGATTTTTGTGATGTTAAATAAGAAAGTATTTTGCGAGTTTGGTTGGTTATTAAAAAAAATGGCACATGTGTACACTAATGAGGAGTTAGTGTACGGAGAAGCAGGGCAAAATTCGAGAGCGGCTTTTTGTTTCTATGCACGCCGATTTCCGATAGGCACATACCACATCACGAAACATTTGGATCAATTGTTTTACGTGCACGTGCTCGTGGAGATTTGCGCCCCAGACGTGGAATCGATGGGGGTCGGGTTCGTCCACAACGCGTTTTAAATGCCGAAGATGAAAATTCAGATATTGTGGGGTTCCAGGAGTTACTACGTACAGACTACACCCTAAGAGTAAAATAATTTTGTGAGTGGTTGTTGCAAGAAGATGCTCGGAATGCCCGTTTTACAGCAGATATTTTGACCACTAACGAAGCTATTTTTACTCGTAATGGGATAACCAATCTCCATAATACACACGTTTGGTACTTTGAGAATCTTCACGCAGTGGTCCAGACACACTTTCAATCACGTTTTTCTTTAAACGTGTGAGCAGGTATTGTCGATGACCGCCTAATTGGACCGTTCATATTGCAAGATCGGATGGATGGTCAACAGTATTTGGAATTTCTTCGGAATGATTTGCCGGCCTTTCTTGAAGATGTGCCATTGACTGTACGAGCATGCATGTGGTTTCTGCACGACGGGGCACCTCCGTAATTTCGTTTAGAAGTTCGTGATTTTTTGAATCAGGTATACCAGATACGCTGGATCGGAAGGGGTGGACCAATTGCATGGTCTTCCCGGGTCTCCTGATCTAAATCCTCTGGACATCTTTTTATTGGGATACTTGAAAAGCGAGGTCTACCGTACTCCAGTTCAGAATATTGAAGAATCACAGTGGCTGCCGATAATTTGAGCCTTCAGGCACAGCAGGAAGGAGGTATATTTGAATTAGTGCACCGAAATTGGATTGCAGTCAATGGAAACAATTTTGAACAGCTTTTATAGGTAAGTGAACTGTTAAACTGTATTATTTTATTATCTCGATTTCTGTAGGACTTTTATTACATTTTTCTTTGTCCAATAAGTTGTCATGGATATTGCTCTGCGCGGAAATTCCGAATGCCGACTACTATTTGTCAGTCTAACTGGGTGGTCCGTAGGACTTTTGCTTGTCTTGTCTACTTCAGTCCGTGGCCCAAAAACCAGGCATTGTCTAAAAAACAAAGGAGAGGGGGAAAGAAAGGGAAAAATGGAGTTAAGTACTTAGTCCATAGACGTTCTTCCCCTACCCTTCTGGTGACTACTATCCATCTGGCAACGGTGTCCCTTTCCACATCTGCGCGGTATCACTGCATCGAGTTTTTGTTCAGTTCGTGCATGGTTCGTGTAAATGTTTCTGGAGCTGCAGTACGCATAGATTAGTGAGCCAGACTGGTTCGCCGGGCCGTGAGCACAAATAGCAGGAGTACGCGTATCAAACGTTTCTCTGTTATTAAAGGCAAATATAAGTTGAAATCTATGAGGTGTGAAATATGGCTAACAGGTGCATCCAATTAACGGGGTTGTAAGCGTATAGTTACACTGAGATCAAAATATTTTTATATAAACTCCCTCACCTCCTATAAACCACAAGCCTCGAATTTCAACCCCGACAATTGTTTTCCTGAAAGTCATCAGGAACTTCTGAAACGCCAAAAAAAAGTCCGAGTCTTTTTGGATTTTTCTTCGCCGCCACTAGACCGATTTCATAAAACTGCTAAGCCTTTTCGTCATTGGAATAGTAGCACCTTGTTTAAAATTTCCATTAAAATCCGAGCGGTTCTTCTCAAATTATAGACCGGCTAAGGATTAGCGGACGGACAGACCGACAGAAATGAGTGACGTAGTTTTTCGTGATATAACATATAAAAAACACAATATCACATTTCCGAAATTTTTACGGTTAGAATACCTCCTGGGCCAGTGGCGTAGGAAGTGAAAGCAGAAGAGCAAAAAAAGAGAGGTGCATCAGTTCAAGTGAAACACCTGGGCTTTTGACTTGGTACACCGATCAGTTTTGAGGTAAACCAAAAACAGATTCTAGTTCAGGTGTTGTTTGAGTGCAATTTTGGTTCGCACTCATTTTTGATCACACTGTTTACGAGCTTACCTCAGTACGTAGTCCAGTGAGACAGGCAACAGAGGGCTGCTGTGTGATTCCGCTTGACTATAACGTCGCTGCACCTGGAGCTTTACATAAGCCCTCAAGTAAGAAGTAGGGCGTTGCAAACTGTCCGTAAAGTCCCGCTTCTATTACGTGAGTTTTGGCAAGTAAACAGTAAGCCGCACGTGTATAATTAATATCTGGTCATGGAACTTTGCTTATCAAACTTAATTTAGAAGATATACGGTGTTCCTTAATGATATGCGAATATTTAAGGGTGTGAATCTATATGAAAAATTAATGCTAGTTTGCTTTATAAACTATGGTCCAAAAATGTTTGTTTACAAGAACTCGGGGTGTTGTTGTTTTAGGAAAAAAATGGAAATTTTAATATTTGCAGAACCGCTGCAGATATTTCACTGATGCTTAGTACGTAGTGAAAGTTAATAAAGTTGCATATTTCTCAATGCTAAAATAATTTTTAGTTTGAACAGTGGCGTGCGTACGGGTATTGACTGACATTTTTTTAAGAAAAAAATGGTATGCTAATGCTTTTTTGCCAAATAAAAATTATTTTTGAATTCCCCGTTAAATTTAAAATAAATGGTCTCTCTTGAATTGTTTCTTTGGATGCGCAATTTTTGAGTAAAAAAATAAAAACCGCTCTATTGTCCGAGAAAATTAATGTAATAATTGAAGAATGCAATTTACCTTTAATATGTCACTGGCCTTTGACACCTGACAAGTCTCTGTTATTCAAATCTGTTCGCTGTGACATCTTTTTCATTATTTCGTTTTTACAATCTTGTTAATAATGGTGAATTATTCAAATGCAGAAATGGCAGAAATGCATTACGTATATGCCCTTGCCAACGGTAATGGTGAGCAAGCCAGACGGATTTATCACCAGAGATATCCCGATCGTGCTTTTCCAGATAGTCGAACCTTTTCTAATATTCATCGTCGTCTTGTTGAAACTGGTTCTGTCCGAAAAGGAACATCTGAAGGTAGACCTCTAAGTGTGAGAACACCTGAAATTGAGGAAGCAGTGCTGCACGAAGTCGAAGAACATCCTGAAACGAGTACGAGGAATACCGCTAGATACTCAAATATTTACCATCAAATTGTTTGGAGAATTTTAGTAGATTTTTTGTTATATCCTTACCATATTTTAAGAGTACAGGCATAACTTTCCATTGATTTTTCGAAGCGTGTGACCACTCCAGGGATATTTCAGTGCGCAATTCCATGAGAAGGAGGGTGGAAGCATGCATACTAAGTGAAGGGGCCATTTTCAACATTTTTTTTAATCATTCCGCTGGTTTTAATTTTATGTTTATGTTGTCAGTTGTTGTTGTTCATTATCCCTAATGTGTTTAATTTTTCCAATTGCATTAATAATAATTTTGCAAGTTAGACAATAGAACGGTTTTTATTTTTTTACTCAAAAATGGCGCATCGAAGGAAAACAATTTGAGAGAGATCATTTGTTTTAAATTGAACGAGGAAATCAAAAATAATTTTTATTTGGCAAAAAACCATTGGCGTACCATGTTTTTCTTAAAAAAGTCAATATCCGTACGCACGCCACTGTTAAAGCTAGAAATTATTTTTGCATTGAAAAATGTGCAACTTTATTAACTTTTACTACGTACTGAATATCAGTGAAATATCTGAAGCGATACTGAAAATATTAATTTCCATCTTTTTCCTAAAACCTCAACACCCCGTGTTTTTGTAAGGAAACATTTTTGCACCATAGTTTATAAAGCAAACCGCATTAATTTTTCATGTAGATTCACACCCTAAAATAATCGCATATCATTAAGGAACACCCTGTATACACAAGGAACATACTTGATGGAACGTAATTCGGAATTCATGCATTTATGAAGGGTAATTCTGAGGTACTTAGCAGAATTTGGTACCTCGGCTGTGGGCGAGCTTCGACGTAATGTGGTATAATAATCCTGCATTTTTTTATGCATTTTAATCAGCTACCGTTACGAGCACTCTAGTACTTCCTCCACCGCCCTTTGCAGCCTGTTGTAAACAAAATCATCAGTACGTGTCTGAACGACAGGTCCAATGTCGTCGACGTACAGGTAGCCATGGATAAGAATAGAGTAAAGGATTGGTCCCAGAACCAAACCCTGAGGGACACTGTGTTGTCGAAAAACTACTTGCCGTCAAGGAAGGATTTATGTACTTTTAGAAGCCAAAAAAGGATTTTTCTTGATTATTTTATAGAGGAAGCCCTAGTACCACATCTTGTCAAAGGGATTCTATAAATCAGAAACCA